GTGCTCTTATCTTGTCAGAGATAAGATGCAGCCACGAGGAGGCCTGTGCAAGTGTACACGATATCCTGGGAGCCACTGTGCAGTGACTTGTCGTTAACTACCCATAATGGATGGAAACAGTACCAGAGGGCTTCAGTAATGAAGTCTTAATGTGATAGATACGGCTGAATGAGAACGGGCTCATTTGGATGTTCAGCAGTATTCTGTGGGGTGTCATTGGCGAGTGCAGAATATTGCATACAAATCTACTGGCACTCATTAATGTGCCTGCTTTACCTGGTGTTCCAGTGCGCTGCTCCCCAATAACTCCTCCTGAAAAACCAAATCCATAGTTTAAAGGCATCGTTCAGATTAATTTGTCATGACAACAGAGCTGGATTTGCAGTGAGAAAGAAAAGATGGAAACTTAAATGAAAGTAGCTGCAGTGGCTGTTCCTGCATGAAGTTTCTGTGAAGGCGATTAAAGGAACAGTAAATGTCCTTTTATTACTGCACAAATGAACAACTGGGTAAGTGTTGAGGAAATGAACTGAAGGTCTGCTGTTTTGCCATACGTTTGCTTTGATTTACAGTAAGAAACCCATGCTGCCAGGATGTGTGCTGTGTTCTATGGTTGTGTGCTCGCAGGTGGACACAGATGCTGGACCATCTCCATGTCACTATTTGGTACTGAGCTCTGGCTCTGGCTCAGACTTTCATGGATATTCATATTCAGTAGAGACATTCATGATAAGTAAATAATGCACTCAACAGTAAAGCAATTCTGCAACGTGAAATGCTTTTTCTAAAACATTTTGCTTTGTAGGAAGAATTACTGAAACGTCTTTAATTTTTGATCGGTGAGATCTGCAGAAGACATGAATAATGTATGGGCATGCGCAGGGGCTGGAAGCGGGGTGTCTGCTCTGCTGCTGGAGCACCTCCCTGTGAGGGCAGCTTTGCTAATGAGAAAAACATCTTACAGTGCGATGCCTTTCCAAATCTGAAAGCAGTCAGTTGGAGCTGCTGCAACTGCTGCTCTCTGTTTGGCTAGGCCTTTAAGAGCGCCACATTTCTGAGCGTCTGTTTTGTCAGCATTTGGGATGCAAGTAAAAATGCGACCTTTTAAAATCAGAGAAGAGTTCTAGCCGTTTCAGAAGTAATTATTTCTAATAATTTTTAATCAGATAAATTCAACTTCAGGTGGTGTCTCAAAAGCCAGAAATAACGTAAGTTACCTCTGTATGTAAAAAGCACGGACTCCTTTCTATACCTCCTCAGGTGACTACAGACAATTCCACTTAGTAAACTCCCAGGGCAGTGGGCACAGCCCTGAGCTGCTGGAGCTCAGGTAGTGTTTGGACACATCTCTCAGCCATAGTGTTTGCATTTGGTGATCATTAAGCAATCATCAGTACGAACAAGGTGACACATCCTTTTTCCCATTGTGATTGGCTGGACGTGTGAGATTTGTGTCTGCACTTGGGATTTGATGACTGATGTAATCGGAGCAGCTTGTGTGCATTCAAGAAAATGTAGTGTAGAGAATGCCCAATATGCCAGCTGTCTTTGAGCACACCAAAGAGAAATTTAAGGACTTCTGCATTGGTATTACTTTTCTGCAAGATAGTTGCATAACTAAGGGGGACGGTTGGACAGATTCGGGTTTCCTAAATAGATGGTGTCTTTCTGCCTCCGACACAGAACAGAAATGATTGCTTTTCATTATGAGAGAACTAGCAGGAAAATAGGGCAGAATCTGGAGTAATGAGATTTTGCATTCTCTTTGAAACCAAATAAAGTAAATATGGCTTTTAAAAAATAATACTGATTTACTATCTCAGTAATCATGAGCTTTTCTGTTACTTTCAGGCATCTTTTGTCTGTGGTCCTCTATTAATTCCAATTGAGAAAGGACAGTGGCGAATACTTGCTGACTTGCAATGTGGAGTGCCAAATAAAAATAAAGCTTTCAGGAGGCCTCACCATTTTGTCAGTCTGCCCCTTTGTTGTAAGGGGATAGAGGGGAATATTGGTGGGAAGGTTCAACCTCTACTGCCCTCCCACCAACATCTGCCTCTGACACGGTGGACCAGCGCCATAACATAGGAGGCATTACTTCTGGAGCAGCCCTAATGTTCCTCTATTACAAAATAAGTGATGCACAACGCGATTGCTCACCATCTACTGGCTGATGCCCAGCCCACCCCTCAGCTGCAGCCCACCCCCAGCCGACTCCCCTCACGTCTGTAATTTTTTCTCATGATGTCACCTGGTATGGAATATATCCTTTTGGCCAGTTTAGGTCAGCTGTCATGGTTCTGTCCCTCCTCAGTATCCCCCACCCCCAGCCCTTGTCTTACAGGACAGCAGGAGGAGCTGAAGCTTTGGCCCTGCCTGTTCAGAGTGCTGGACACAGTGCTGCTGCAGCTGCAGGAGCCTTTGTCCAAAGCAGAGGGACAGTAACCAGCCTGGAAGTTTTCTGTGCATGTGAGATTTGCTTTTCTTGAAAAAAAGCTGCATGAACAGATATAGGGATAGGTGTTTGTTTCCAAGAGTTGACACTGGGGAAATCCCACTGAAGGGAGGTGAAAGATGGGTGGTGTTTGCCAATGTTAAGTGAGAAGCGTGTTGATTCTCTAAAAGCAAAGCATGCTGCCAGGTTTTTACAGCAGTTAGTGAGTGAGTTAATAATCACAATTCTGTAATTAAAAGCCTGTTTGCTGTTTTCATTTAAATTTGGAAAAGACAGGCTCCTTTGTACAGGTGCTCTTTTTGCATTGCTGTATGAGTATATTGCACAGCCATGTGTCCGTCTCCAGGGGTCAGAAGGTTATGCTATCTTTGTAACAGAAACAGCATTCTTATTATGTTATCATATAAAATATGGATTTTAATATTAAACTTAATGCTCTGCTATGAGGAATATGTAAACTTGGCTTCAGAGCAGCAGCATGCACTTCCTGGAATCCTGTGCATAGTGGGGGTATAAATAAACGCAGGTTCTTTGGAATTCAGTGGGGCTGATATCTGGTGTCATTAACAGGATCTGCCAGAATTTGTATTCCCTGACAGACAGTTGATTTTTGATTAATGCAAGATGCTTTATTTTGAAAATCAATATCTTAGAAGATTAATGAATACCAGATATAAATCCAGCACAGTGATTGGCAAAGCAAATGCACGTATGTTATTTAATTACTGTATGTCTTGTCTGTTGCCAAAATTTCATTCCTTTGGAAATGTCATATTCAGCAGTCAAATTTAGACTGAGGAGCTGGAAGTCATCGTTTTTAGGTGAGGTATGAAAACGGGGATAAGCATAGGGTAGTGCAGGCATGGTTTACTTCTGGTTTTGAGATAAACTGGTTTCAAAGGGAATTATTTTTTATTTATGCGTTAGTATATAGTGCTGGCAACTGCTAACTGTAGGAGCTGCTCAGTGTTGTGTCAGTTCTGAGGTGTCCCTAAGTGAGAAAGGTAATGCCTGAGCAGCATTCAGAAGGCACACAGCTTGAACAGAAATGTCTGTGTGGTCAGGATGCAAATGTTTTCTGCTAGAACGGTTGCACCCACTGCCACTGTATGAATTGATCAGGACTCACTGTTCAGTGAGTAAACTGTTGGCTGCTGTTTCTATTTAGGATTTACTGAGTGATGACAGTATGTGTTCTCCCTCTGGAAGTTATCCTCTTTGTCCACCTCTGCTAACATGCTCTGTTCCTTTTCTTCTGTCCTTGCAAGCACATTCCTGGGCTCCATCAGCAGAGGGGTGGCCAGCAGGGACAGGGAGGTGATTGTCCCCCTCTGCTCTGCTCCCGTGAGGCCCCATCTGCAGTGCTGTGTCCAGGTCTGGAGCCCCCAGTACAAGAAGGACAGGGAGCTGTTGGAGAGGGTCCAGAGGAGCCACAGAGATGATCAGGGGACTGGAGCACCTCCCCTACGAGGACAAGGCTGAGGGAGCTGGGCTTGTTCAACCTGGAGAAAAGAAGGCTGCGGGGTGACCTCATGGCAGCTTTCAGTACCTAAAGGGAGCCTGCAAACAGGAGGGGAGCCAACTCTTGGAAAGGGGAGATAACGGCAGGACAAGGGGAAATGGTTTGAGGTTGAGGGAGGGAAGATTGAGGTTGGATGTCAGGGGGAAGTTCTTTGCTATGAGAGTGGTGAGGTGCTGGAACAGCTGCCCAGAGAGGCTGTGATGCCCCATCCATCCCTGGAGGTGTTCAAGGCCAGGTTGGATGGGGCCCTGGGCAGCCTGGGCTGCTGTGAAATGTGGAGGTTGGTGGCCCTGCATGTGGCAGGGGGTTGGAGATTCGTGATCCTTGAGGTCCCTTCCAACCCTGGCCATTCTGTGATTCCGTGATTGCCAGAAGTGCTCTGAGAAGCGCTGTGTCAGTTTTTGTGCTGTGTGAGGTGGGAGGTGTGGATGGGTGGTTTGGCCCTTGGGTACCACGTGTTTAGACGTCATCAGGTGTCACTGGGCGCTGGAGAGATGAGGCTGCCAACAAGTTCTACTTCTTGCTTTCTCTGTGGTAAAATTATAAGCTCTTAGCTGAGGGGAAACTGTTTGCAGTTCATGCAGTTGTACCTTCACTGGTGGGACATTAGTTTTTCCTCCCTTCCCCATTAGTTGTGAATGTGATGTTCTCCTTAAACTAAAGGTAAAAAAGTAACTAAGCTTGGGCAGGAACACATGCTGAACTGCTATGTCATCCTGCTTTTCAAATGTGTGTTGAGCCAAGAATTCATGCACAGAGTGGATCATCATTTTGTATTTTGAATTATGCATAGGTCATTAGAGGAGGCACTGGAATTTCACCAGCACTCAACACCCACGCTGTGGACTAAAAAGCCATTTTGAAGTGTCAGAGCGTTCTGTTGGAATAGCTGAATTGTACAGAACTGTATTTATTCCTGCTTCATTGTGACTGGATTGGTGTTCATCATTTTTTACTTCTCTGGTGTAAAGAGGACCTCATGGGTAAAATTGCTTATTTTCTCCTTTTTCTTTTCTTTGACAGACTAGAGACGACTTCCTGGGCCAGGTGGATGTGCCTCTTAGCCACCTTCCGGTAAGAAATGCTTTGGTCCATGTGCTTTTTTTTGTCATCCCCAGCTGTTAAAAGCTCATGACAATTTACTGAAATAAATTCAACTTAAAGCACATACTTCCAGTAGAGCCACAGAGGCTGAAAGAAAAATCTCACAAAAATAGAGCCCCGCTCTGCAGAGGTGTCTGCAGTTGTCCCCTTTGCAGAGGCTAGGGAGGTGGTGATTCTCTGGCGCCCACTGACATTTCCAGAATCCAGATTTCTCTTCTGGTCCATTTCTCATCCTGATTCTTCCTTAAAATCCTTGTCTGGCCTGAGTCAGATGATGAATGACACAGCCAAGCTCCATTTCTTCCTGAACTTCTGTTGAAAGTGTTGAAGAAAATAAAAATGTTTTTTGGTCCCATTTATTTGTCTACATAATGCATGGCTAAGGTTATGGGATAAGATTATCACTCTATCATCAGGTTTTCATAGATGTCCTTTTCATATAACATGTTCAACATTCAGAAACTGCTCAACACTGTCCTTAATGTAATCTTAGTCCAATGAAGACGGCGGCAGAATTATTACAGACTGCAGTGCATGAAAGCTTTCAGTGCCAGTGAAACTGAAAAAGTTTGAGGGAGAGCTCTGTGCTTCTGCTGTCAGTAGGTGGGCCCTGATCACATCTGTTTCTGTTGTTTCACTCGGGTTGGCACGTGCTGAAAAGGCCAGAGACAGTGCTGGATTGGAGACAGGGATGCTGTAATGAAAGGCAAATAACTAAACATCAGGGTGTTTGTGATTGTGATGGTGGGTATTTATGAGGAAATGTGCTGCGAAGTATAAAATGATGCTTTAAGTTTTACTGTGTGCCTATTTTGCAGAGTCAAGTAGTATTTTACAGTTCTGTTTTTAGTGACCATTAGTTTTAGTTATTACAAATCATGAACGAGAGTTGAGAGAGCTGCAGGACTGTCACACACTTTCTGTGAACTGTCTTGAGAAATTAGCAGCTTTCTTCCTTCCACACTGCATAAGAGGTTGACTCTTCCTATACACAGGAAGCTTCACTGTCCTCTCTGTGGTCTTAGCTGGCACTTGAGTTTGCATCTCTCTAGCTCATATTCAAAACAGTGGAATGCTACACTTACTCTTTCAAATCGTTTTTAGACTTCTACTGTCTTTACATAGAAACTGATAAACTAAAATTTCCTAGCTGCTTCACTGCAGAATAAATTCAACTGTGCTAAGATGAGAAAAGTTTATACTTAGTACCCCCCACTTCTTTCCATGGAGGCTCACTAGAAAGTGAATGTTCTTCCTCTACAAAATCCCTTCTCTGCATGTTTGCAGATAACTTCTTTAGCTCCAGAAGGTGTTTTCTTCTGAATTTCCCTTGCAAATACTTGCAATTTGTATCTCAGAACCATTGCACTGAGAGGCGCACAGCAGTGTCTGCACAGGGTGCTTTCCTGCCCATGCAGATGTACTCAAACTCTGTAACAGTGACTTACATTGTGCTTTCTAAGGTCAGCACTAATTTGATGCTCAGGGAAACATCCTCTGTGACTTTTTATTTTAATCAGTGTTTTCCTCGTTCATCCTTCCTATACAGCGATAGGAGAGATTGTGATATATTCACTAGCAAATGTTTTCTTTTAGCTGTAGAATTGTTTGGCAGAATCCTGGTTCTCTCTGACCTTATCCAACCTTTCTCAGCAAAACTTGGTTAAAGTACACACCTTTTACTTAATGTACATTGAATAGAGATGAGACTACTAAAAGGCAATACTATATAATCAGGCATGCTTTACAGTGCTGTTGGTTTGATTAAAAGCTGTTATCTCTCTGAGAAAATGGGAAGTCTGTCTCAGACAGATTAAGTGGAAACTTAATGCAGGAAATGCCTTGCAGGATGTTCTGTGACAAGCTAATCTGTATGGCATTGGATGTAAAATCTGTGATTATGAGTTGGAATTCATTTTTAATTTACTGTTTATTGACTTTGAGGTAATACCTGGGAGATAGATTATCCTGTGTCTACAAAAGTCTAGTAAAGGAATTGCACACAAGTAGTATTCCTGTCAGTAAAGATAGGGCTTGTAAGGGCTTTGTAGATATGCTATCATTTTCTGTAATTGCTGGCAGATGGGAGCAACATTCTTCTAGTTGTGCTCATATTAAGAAAATTTTCTGTAAATGTGGTCTTCATTGTAGCATGTGCTTACATCTTCAGTATAACACAGGCCATACTTCCAATTTCGTAGCCCCAGCCATACTATAACTAGTGCACCCCTTAAATCAGAAGATTTAATCTGTGTGTGGATTTCTGCCTCTCGTATTTGCCTTCTCATTTCTAAATTTCTAGTTCTGCACCAATAATGGCCCTCATTTCACAGACATGGCGAGTGCAGCAGATCTGAATTTCTTCTAAGATTTAAAGATGAAACTTCCAGCTGAATGTAAATCAGATGACGCAGCCTGTCAACCTGCAAATATTAGTGATCTGCCCCATAAAGAATTTCAACCTCTCACTGTTTTTCAAAGTCTAAACAGCGTTGAAATAAGAAACAAAAGCTAGCTGAGCTGTATTTTTTTTAATAGTTTCCTAATATGCATAACAACCAGCCTTTCAGGTGGATGCATCCTCCTCTGGCAGTGCTGTTGGGTGGCAGCAGAAAGTTGGCAGGGATCTTCCAGCTCTTGCTGTGTGGGTTTCCATGCAGCGATGAGGCAGAGTTCAGCCCATTGCTGGTATTTGCAGTGACATCTAGTGGACCTCTTGTGCAGCTATTTATTAACCACCCACCCACCCAGGGTAACCCACACTGTAGAATGTTCTCTAGCAATGTCTGCAATGTGAATGTTCCTTATGTACTACTGTGCTTGTGGGCAAGCCCTTTAAGTTGTCATTTTCTTACATACTTGTAGACTGAAGACCCAACCATGGAAAGGCCATATACATTTAAGGATTTCCTTCTCAGACCAAGAAGGTGAGGATTTGTATTTGTATTTTAAAACATTTCTTACTTCAAGGTTTATTACTTGCAGCTGTTGAAGAGCTATTCAATTAAATGTAACTTCGTGTCTTCTAGTCACAAGTCTCGTGTAAAGGGTTTCTTGAGACTGAAGATGGCTTACATGCCTAAGAATGGTGGCCAAGAGGAAGAAAATAGCGATCAAAGGGATGAGTCTGAGGTAAGACAATCAAGAGGTCACTATCTGATATCTTCTTTTTGTCATTCTTATGCATCTGGAGGTGTGTAAGTTATTAGAGTTTTAGATAGAATCTTAGAAGAAGTTGTGGTTTTGAGAGATAAAATGATGGTATTAGTTTAGCTTCAACATATTCTTCCCCTCCCATGCTTTCAAAACCATAAGATGATATTTTCTCTACTGTTTCAAGTGGCACAATGAATACTGAAGTCTCTCTGATTCGGTTGTGGTGTGGTTTTTTTTTCCATTTTCATGAGCATTCCCAAGGCTGCATAAGTCACGCCAAGAGAGCAGAAGAATTTGAAAAGTCTATCCACACAATTCATATTTGACATAAGCGTGATGGTCTGTTTTCAATATCTAAGCATGTCTTCCTCTGTAGCGTGTCCAAGTTAGCTGTTGGAACATTTTTCTTTATTTTCTTGGCAGCACCAGCTTTACAGAGAATAGTGCTCATGCGGGTACAGCAGGTTTAAAGACTTCCCAGCACTCCTACCACCATCATCCATTTTAAGAATTACTGTAATTAGAGCTGACAGAGTGGATGTTAGCCCAAGTTTGCTTTAATTACTAATAATGGGCAGTCATCTGTAATTGGAGAAGGAGGGCTGTTGTCCCAAGCCATACATCTGTGTTCTGCAGCTTCTCAGGAGGTCTGCCCAAGAGCTGGTGCAGAGGCAGCTGAGGTGTCTCAGGGCACGCAGTAATGCAGCACCTCAGTTCATCGCCTTCAGCACTTTACAGATTCAAAACTCAGCTTTATTTCTCCCTCATCATGTACAAAAAAGGTGTATGTATGTGTGTGTAAATATGCTTGTATTTTGTGTGTGTATGTGTATTTATAATACAATTTGCATAAAAATCTGAGAAGTTTATATACGTATATATATGTGTCACACTCAGACATATTATTTTATAAAACAAACAGTAATCTCTAACTGTGAATTTCATAGAATGACCATATCTTTAATGTAATCTGATTTTTCTGTGATAATTGAAGTAAAAAGACTGTAAAAGGCTCCGTTGTGCTTAGTTATTAAATTCGTTAGTGAATGGATTCTTTCATGTAAATAATACATCTCATAATTGGTGCCTAAATAACTGACTTGAACTTACTAGCAGTTTTTTAACAAAACTAGTCTGAAAAGTATGTTTCAAGAATAGAGTCTCTCATATAAAAAAAAAATTCAGCAGCATGCATGCAGTGGTGCTCTCTTTACCCACAGGTCTCTATTTCTGAACATTATTTATTGTCTATTTTGCTGTTGAAAATAACTTTTTGTCACCTGTGTGAGTAAGGTCCTCCTGACTCGAGTATATAAGATAATGCCACAAGGCCCTGGCAGTGTCCCACAGAAACAGCATTTCTAGTAAATCAGTGGTAATGAAAAGCTTCTGTGTTTCATTTAACAGAGCACTTCTAACTCTAATTTCTGAACAGCAGCAGGGAAGGAATTTTCTTATCTGTAATTGAATTGCAGTATTTACCTGGAAAGGATACCCTAGGGCAATTAGATTTGAGTTTGAATTCAGGTAGATTTATGTATTAAAGTCTTCTGAAAGAGGAATAAAATAAAGTGTGATTGCAGTGGATACTTAAAGCTGTGTTACACGTCTGGAAGTAAAATTAGTTTTAGGTTGTTCCGTTTGCTTGTTTTTTAATCTTTCCCAGAAAAGGCATGTTTGATTGATAAGGACATCTGCCTGTTGTCCTTGGGACTTTTTACATACCTTCTTGGGACTTTTTTGCTGCTGTCAGCGACTGTCAGACCCTTTGGCAAATCACAGATGAGTCTGTCGGAAAGACAGGACAGAGGTGGTGAGCAGGAGAAGTTCCTGTGTGCTTTGGGAGAGCGGGAAAGCAAAAAGAAAACCAGTGATTATCCTTTACGAGGAAAAGGGCACAGCTTGAGTTCAAAAGTTGGCAGTTGGCTCTCTTTGGCTTCACGACTGGAGATCTGCACCTGGCTACCAGGAGGAATACCCACCCAAATAATTTTGGGAATCCCAAACTTACAGATTCAATAGAATGGTAGAAGTTTAGTGTTTTTGTCACTGAAATGTAGCACACGCTGTAATCATGAAGTTTCTTCCATTTCTCATTGCCTTAGATTTTAAAAAATAGGAAAATAAAGTAGGAATCTTTACCCTTGTGGGCAATACTGATGTAACTTCTCTCTTCGACTTGAGCTCTGACATCTTTTCTGCTCTCATTCCTAAGCACGGATGGGATGTGGTTGATTCCAACGACTCTGCGTCTCAGCGCCAGGAGGAGTTGCCACCTCCTCCACTGCCTCCTGGGTGGGAGGAAAAGGTTGACAACCTGGGGCGGACTTACTATGTCAACCACAACAACAGAACCACGCAATGGCACCGACCAAGTTTGATGTAAGTGGCGTTGTAGTGCTTTGTCCTGTTTGTGGGTATGTGCAAAAGTTAAGGAGAATAAATTATTTTCTTCTGTAGAGACTATTGACAAAGTATTTTTTAAAAATGCAAGCACAGACATTTCAGGTCTTTTAAGTTAGAGTGACTGATTTTAAGGAGATCCTCTTCTGCTTTTCTGTGCTTGTGCTAATGCGGAGTTCCTGTTCAAGCCTTCATTGTACATTGCCTATGAATAGGTTTATAATGCTGTAGCAGTGTTTAACTGAAAATGTTAAGAGTTGTGCTGAGATAATGAGTTAGGTGAACATCTTTCACTATTTTTCTGTAGCTACTACTCTCCCACTGTTGCTTATTACTGTTTTACGTGCTGTTTGCTCTTTCTTGCATGTTCGTTATCATAGTTGTATTATGTGTGTGTTTCTATATTTAACTTTATTATTTTTGTCTGACGTGTTTATCCTAGATTAAGTAGATTATCTTAGATTAATTAATTAGAATTTAATTAGCTTTTGTCCAGCAGATTTTGAACTGTTTTTTTTAAATGCTATCTGTTAAGCAGCTTTTACTTTTCTCAAGTGAATGCCATCCATCTCACAACGGTATCAGTAACTGCCTATAAAACTTCAGTTTTTATAAATTATTTAATTTAGCACCTCCTTTAATTCTGACTATGGTAAATGAAGTGAAGATTACATGGCTTCAGAAATGCTTTACTGACACATATAAAAAAATAATAATCATTGGAAAATGGCATCAGATGGGTGTATAATTTGAAGGCTTCAGGTTGGTGAGTAGCTAAGATGACCAAAAAGTCAGTATCACAAGTGATTTGGGAATGCATACTCACTACTAGGCTTGATAAAGAATGAGGTGGACACCATACTCATGCAAATTAAGTAACATTGGGGTTTTTATTGTCTCTTGTTTTAAGATAGAAACAAAGGAAAATTACAGTGATGCTTCAAGCCTTGTGCCCAGGAGGCCATTAAGGCCAACAGCATCTTGTGTTGTGTCAGAAGTAGTGTAGCCATAAGAGCAGGGAAATGATTGCTCCCCTGTTCTCAGCACTGGTGAAAACTGCACCTCAGTGCTGTGTTCATTGTTGGGCTCTCATACAAAAAAGACGTGGAGGCTTTGGAGCATCTCTGGAGAGGGGAATGGAGCTGGGAGGGTTCTGGAGCACAGTGCTGTGGGGAGTAGCTGAGGGAATGGGATGGTCAGTGTGGGGAAGGGAAGCTCAGGGGAGACCACATCACTGCCTACAACTCCTGAAAGTTGTGCTGGGAGCCTCTGCTCTCAGGTGACAGTGATGTGACAGGAGGTGGTGGCCGCACGTTGTGCTGAGTCAGGTTGGATATTAGGGTATTTGTTCTCAGAAGGGGTTCTGAGGCATTGAACGAGGCTGGCCAGGGATATAGTTGAAGCACCATACCTGGAGGTATTCAGAAGATGTGCAGATGTGGCACTTAGGTAAGTTAGGCACTTAGGCACTTAGGCACTACTCGTTGAGCAGTAGTGTTGGCTGTGATGGTTTTTAACGGCTGGATTTGATGATCTTGGACATCTTTTCCAAACTAAGTGATTCTGATTTTGTAAATTTATGAAACACTAGGAGTGGAAGGTTCTTGTGGGGTTGATAGTAGAATCAACAGTGTTGGCCTCTCAGTTTGAGACTAGTAACTCAGATACTAATCTAGGCAATAAGAGAAAATATTGATTATTGTATAGTCTGTGTCAGTTGAGTAATTTGTCTTGCCATGATAAAATGTTTTCTGAAATAAATGCTTCCTGAACATAAATCTCTTCAAAAGCTACAGTCCCTTATCCCGAAGGAGAGGTTTAAATGGAATACTGCCTTTTAACAAGCTCTTGTAGCCCTTGAGTACTGTAATGGAGATGTAGAGATATGCACAGAGGGAAGCTGCACAAGTCAGGAAGGGACACCATCAAGGGAATTTTTTTTTTTTTTTTTCCATTACAACCATTGCAGATATGAGCTGAACTAGTGGTTGTAGCCAGTAACAGCTTGTTATTGCTCTGGCTATTGCAAAAAGAAAAGCAATAGTTGGCATGAAGAGGGGGGCAGAAGTAAAATCTGTGTGTCAGGAATGATTCTAGTCATGCTGGGAAAGGATAAGTTGTAAGGGGTTAACATCTTACAGTGGGGACTCATTTTTCTGGTTTAACAACTCCGTTGTACAAAGAATGTTAATTTCCAGTCTTACATGGCATTCGTGAAATGCTTTTGGTTTTATTTCACTTGGATTAAAGAATTAAATTTCCTCCTGTTTATGAAGCCTGACATGTACAAGAGTAATGAATTTTTAGCTATAATCAAAAGCATTAATGAGTTTAAGATTCATTGTTTTCTTGTTCTTTTCTCCTTTGCTTCTTTTCTCCACTGTCCAGTGATGTGGGATCTGATTCAGATAACAACATCAGACAAATAAACCATGAAGCAGCCCATAGGCGGTTTCGCTCTCGAAGACACATTAGTGAGGATTTGGAACCGGAACCTATGGAGACTGGAGACATTCCTGAGGTATATAAAGGTCTTGCTTTTAAGAATTTCACCAATCTCAGGCCAAAACGTTTCCCATTTTGTAAGCTAATTACTATGCACCGTGAACAGGAACGGTTTTGCATGGTTTTTAAGGAAATCGACTGAGCAGAAGACTGGAGACACAGTAAAAATCCTAAGACAGTTACACTTTCCTGCACATACGCTTTTGTAGGTGGCCAGTAGAGCATGCACTGTGTTAAGTACCGTGTAAATGACACACATTTGTAATAGCAAGCACTGCTCCTTATCTCCAAGAAGATGAAACACTTTCAATAATCTGCTTTGAATAACAATGAGACAAGTTTGTAAGAAGTGAAATGTACCAAATGCCATTTGTTTGAGTTTTCTTCTACGTCTTAATTTAGAAGGAAAACAAACTATTTTTCCCCAAAAAAATACTTGGCTCTATTTAAAACTCAAGAGATCTTGTTAATCAGTATTTTTAATCTACAGATAGAACAACGTAATGAATTTTGGTAGATGTTTTTAAGCAAACTTTTTGTGTAAAACTCAGATCCCTTCAGCCTTAAGGAATGTTCTGTGTTGAATGTTTTTATGAATGTTTTCACTGAGAAACACAACCATTTGTGTGCACAAGGGTTAGTTTATTTCATTAAGTGTTAATGCTGATGATCACACTTGCGTTTGCCACAGTAAGGTGGCTGCCTGGAACACACGGGGAAGGAGAGGCTTGGTTTGACTTTAAATAGTTAATGCAGCTTCTTTTCTTTTGTCAGCCTTGGGAAGCCATTTCAGAGGAGGCGAGTGCAACTGGGGATTCTTTAAGCTTATCGTTGCCACCACCTCCTGCATCTCCTGTATCCCGTAGCAGTCCTCAGGAGCTATCTGAGGAACTGAACAGAAGGCTTCAGATCACTCCAGACTCTAATGGGGAACAGCTGAGTTCTTTGATTGTACGTGACACACTGCTTTCTCTGTATACATCTTTACTACTTTACTGATTTTTGTCAGCTTTACATAATCCTGAATTGTTTATGTGGATGAGTAGGTATTGCTGGTCTTAGGAAAAACTGAATACTCTGTTAAAAGCATCTTTAAAAAAAAAAAAATCAGCTTAGTTTCACTGTAGAAGCAGACCTTTATTTAGGTTTAATGTTTTTTTATTTTCCTACATGAGTTTAATTTGAGAGCCTACTCTCTTATACCTTTAGTGAAACAAAATGCATCATGTAATACTAGAGAGCATCAAGCTAGGAACATCCAAAAGAAAGAGGAAAGACTGAATGCTTCTCCAATCATCACCCATTTTATTGTGTGATAACTTATCACAGCTTGGCGTTTACCTGTGCGTATTCATGCTGAAGAATGTGTTGGAATTTTACAAATCCCCATCATAGTTTACTGGTTAATTGTCACAAGACTAACAAAGGATTAGAACTGAAAGAAAGTAGTTGTGGTGAAATGCTCTGTGGATTTATTAATAACTAGTCTCTAGAACCACAGCAGGTTGCTTGAGGTGAGAAGAGAATATGAGTTCTGTTTGTGTGTGTTACCTATTAGTTGGACACTTAGGATACCACAAAAAGTAAGGATACGATGCTTTCAACTGAAATGTCTTATGTCTTTCTGATTGAGAAAACAATTGTAAATATAAAAGAGAGCATTGTGTTGAGATTTAATCATTTCCTTGGTGTGTGCTACTAAGGTACCTTTGCAGTTAAAGTGAGGAGTGATCACACTTAACTCTTTTTCTGATCAAATAGAATCTTGATTAGGTGCAATTTTTTCACAAAGAACCTATGCAATGTATACAATGACTTGAATGTTATATAGAGATTAGTTCAGCAAATTATAGCTCTGATTGCCAGCCATCTGCACAAAGTCTGCTTCTGTAGATAACTGCAGGTTCCAGTGACCTTCACCTCGAGGATGGGACGTTAATCGAGTAGGAGCAGCGTCAAGAACAGGGCCTATATTTACTGTACATACAAAATAATAAGTGGTATAGCTACAAAATAATCTGAATTAAAATAATTCAGTAGTAATGTACAAAGTAGCTCTTTTATGAGCCATTAAATAACATCTTACTTACCACTGCAGTGCAAATTTTAATAAGACCACACTTACTAAGGAAGAAATCGTCAGAGCATTTAGTGTCTGTTACACTACCCACTGAACTGGGTGTTGTGTCACTCAAAGGAATAAAATGAAGTAGCTCTGAAATTATTCTGTCTGCACGTGGAGATTAAGTGGGTCAGCAGTGTTCAGTCCATGGCCCCAGAGGATCTGCCACAGCAGCTTGTGTCTGTGACTGTTCCCATGGCTCTGGCCTCTGCGAGAGCTCACTGGCCTGATCCAGCACTTAACTCTGGGCTTGCAAATCTGCCCAGTTCTGAGATTTGTATTAACAGCAAAAAGACATCAAGAGCATCATTTGGATTGAGCAAGGTGGTAGGAAGGGTTTGGCACTGCCAGCTAAACACAGGATGTGCCTGCTTGACATCTCCTCTTGACCAAAATTCCCAAAAGCTGTGTGATCAGCTCAGTGACTGTGCAGGCTGTTGGATCCAGGACTTTTCCTAAACCCAAATCTAGACTGGCTTTGCATGAACCTGGCTAAGATCCGCAGGCTGCTGGCTGTACCGAGAGGTGCTTTGACCTCAGCAAGGCTCCCAGTGAAGGTTCTGCAGAGTGTCCTGCTTTCCCACCACAGGCTCAGGGTGTCATCAGCACCAGAACCACATGGTCATCTTATGTGTTACTGGCATCCCATTGTGCCCACATCAAGGAACAGACACAAGGGTTACCTAGTGCAGTAAGCCAGGTGTGAGATTCCAGTTGCTCTGATGTACTGATTTTCCAAGGACTATATTGACAGTATTCAGCCAGGAGTTGCATTCTTCCTTATGCTGCTTGTTCTCCCTCTAGGTTTTCTAAGGTGTCTTCCAAAGATACTTGAAAGTAGTTAAACTTACAGACATTTTCTTTTTTTTTTTTTCAGCAAAGAGATCCTTCCTCAAGACTGAGATCTTGCAGTGTAACAGATACAGTTGCTGAACAGTCTCAATTATCTTTGGTAAACGAAAGCTAATTTTTATTTATTTCTTCTTCTTTTAACGTCATCTGACTCTGAATGGTGTTTTTTCCTAGATCAGTTCTAGGCAGATCTAGTGCAGTTATGGACGTGTGGCTATCCTAAATCATTCTGGAAACTAAAATAGTGTCAAAGTACAGTGAGGAATTCCAAAAGAGAGAAAAAACGTTTTGAGATAGAGTATAGTCATAGTGTCTGACTTCAGTTACCTAACACAGAAATGCAGTTTACTAAACACTTGTGTTCAGTTGATGTATGAGGTGGAGAGAGAAAACCTTCCCATGAGTGTTTTCAGATAGGATATCAATCCACACACACAAAAGATTACACAAGTTTACCATGAAAATATTAAGTAGGGAGCTTCTGATGAGTTCATTGCTAAAGCTGATGTCTCTCCTTTGTTTCTTTCTGTTGTTATTGGTTAGGCATTTACTATAACTGCAGTATTTTTCTCTTTGTTCTGTGTGTTCTGTATGTTTGGTGTATCCACATTTGTTGCTCGGAGTTGCATGCAATGTCTGTTGTTCAAAAGAGTGCTTATGAAGGATGATGCACCTCTTTACTTTCTTCCCTGGATAAACAATTGTGTGGTTTTCAGTACAATTATGCCTTAACTGTCTTCTCTCCATACTAGAGGAAACTGTCACTTAACGAAGTCTGATCCAGAGATGGTCTGCTGCTTAATTTAATATAACCTCATGGAGTATGAGTTTCTTTACCTCATGCAGTCACTTGGGGTCTTGTCGTGATCCGCCTTTCAGTTTGCTATTGCAGAGCATTCATTTATTTAGCAGAAGAATTGAAATCATTGCTCTATTATTACAAGGACATTTCTTGATTTTAATCTTTATTGAACCAATGATAGTTTATCTTCCAGCAACTCAATCCATACCTTCTTTCTAAATTGTGTTGATTTTGACTGTATTAATCCTTAGTGAAAATCTGAAATGCCAATTTCATACTTTTGATCTAATTTTTTCTGATGATCAAAGTGGATCCATTCTGTTTCTAAGGGAAATTAATTATGTTACACTCAGAGTGAATGATCTTGTCATCCTTAGCAATACTGCTCATACCAGAACTCTTGAAATTAGTTCCCTTGGTGATTTTTCTGTCAAGTTCTTTCTTGTTTATCAGTGATTGATGGCTTAATTTTTTTCTACATCATCTTTGAAATTATTTAAACCTAATTGCTCTTTTAATAAATTTTAGATTGTAGATGATTCCTTATTCCTCAAGATGTAAGAGTAAACTGTGCCCTTCAACACCAAGTGTACTTACCTGTAACATTAATTATCATTTAACAGCAGAGTGGCCAATCTAGGAGAGCTCGTTCTTCAACTGTCACAGGTGGTGAGGAACCAACGGTAATATCTTTATCCAACACTATCTCTAAATGAAATGTGGGCGAATTTAGGTCTTGTACAGTAATTAACATTTTTTCACAGAGCAGCAATGTGATAATTGACATTCAGCCACTGAAGCAATAGTTGCATTTATTTCGTTATTTATTTGTTACCCTTCGGATTTGCTCAAATAATGCTCTATTCACTCTAACTTCAGATTAAGGCTATTTTATTACTTGTATATGCTAGTTTAACAAAGCTTTACTAAAAACATACCATAAGCTTATAAAAAACAAGATACAGTGCCTAATTCTTTAAAACTTGAAATAACCAGTGTTTAAAGATATCAACTCAGTATACTTGTATCTTTCATTGTGCTTCTGTCTTCCCTTACTCTCTGTTAGACTGGTTCATTTAGATTCATAAGATTGATCTTAATTTGAGAACTGTGCAATGATACATCATTATGGATTGTAATGGTCTTAATTGCAGCCAATTTTCATTTTCCAGCAGTTATTCCTCTCTGCAAGGCTGAATTTTTGCTTTGCTCATCTGATAAAGTTCTTGAAATGCTTTTCTGAAAGGATTTTTCTGCATAATTAAAGAAAAGCAGATTTCACTTACATTGATCTTTGCCAAAAAAGTCTCATTCCGTTAGTCTGAAACAAATTGTTGCATAGAATGCATTATCCACTGACAGTAATAATTGGCTTTCATGAGTATTTGCACTCTTAGATAATTTACTTCAGGGATGTAAATCAAAGTTGGTACGTTTCCTGTTTGTATGCAGTGGTGTCAGGCCTCAGTTTGTGTTCTGATGCAGCATTCTGTGACGGTGTTTGTGTTTACTGTTTTTTCAGAATCAGAGGAGCATGCTGGTATTCAGTTCCTGCAAATTCTGATTTTTTTGTGTCCTTGAAAATCCTCCTTCAGTTTTTTTTTGATTAATAGATGATCTTGTGTTGATCATACTTCTTAAAACTGTAATACTTTCTGCTAATTCTGCTAAAGCTGAGTTCGTACTTCCCTGTCTTATAATCAATATCTCTTTTTTTTTTGTAGTTCCAATGTAAGTTTATTGCAGCTTAATTAATGGGAGCCTTCCCCTCGCTGTCTTCATTCAATATGCATCTATACCAAATCCACAGACTGCTCAGGACTTAAATATGAATTCTTTCTTGCATTTAAATCCAGATGCACATTCTTCCAAGGTTGCCACTTTTTGTCCTTTAGGGACATCAAATATGTAGACAAATATGTAGAATTTGTCGATGCTGAAGTTTCTAGGGCAGTTCAGTTTTGCTTTCAGACTTCCTCTCATACCCATCACAAAGAAGCCTTTTGATAAAGCACCCATGTTTCTATTCTGTGTGGTAAAATATCTTCATGTTGGTATCTAAAGTATGGCAGGAAGACTGAAGGGCAAGCTTTCTGTTTCGCAGATGGCACACATGGTTGCATTAACCCAGCCACTAGGAAGGAGAAGGGCTGCTGGCAGTTGGAGTTGTTTTGATAGTCTGATAAAGGGAAGATCAGATGATAAAGCTGAGCATCTTTCTGGTGTTTCTGTATACTCCCAGCACCAAGTCAGTTGAAGCTGATTGTTTGCATCATGCCATCTTGCCACAAATAGAAGCTGTATTATTACAACCCAGAATATCAGCTACCTTAATTGTCTAATTTTTAATTAAAATTTAGCCTGTGGACTGTACTCAAACACTTATTGTGTCCTTATGACCACCAGTTAACAGCTTAGCAGTGGTCAGAACAGTCTCGGTGAAGGTGCTCTCCTTATCACAACCATCAGCTGCCTGAACTGACCATTTGGCTACTCTGGACATTAATAAACTGGAGTTTGTTTCAGAGGGTATTACTCAGCTTCCTTATCAGTTTTCCTTTTTCTGTCTCTTAATGTGCCTCATCAACTTTCTAACCCATTCATTTTCCTTTCTAATTTCTTTTCTTGATTGTCAGACGGTTCTCCAGATCATTGTGTCAATTACACTGCTCTGCTAAAAAGCAAACATACTGATTTAAGCAAGAGCCCTGGGAAGAGGTCTTAAGAATATGAAGCAAGAACAAGGATTGCTGTAAATCACTTTGCTGGGGCAAAGAGTGTAAAGCATAGAAAAATAATTTACTGAGAACCTTTGAGACTTGAGAAGTTACCAAATCCTGCTGTGCAGTGTCATTCACATGTTTTATCCCTAAGTAGTAGTTTTCCACTGTATTAATATTTTTAAATAGAATTATCATACCACACAAACCACTGTTTATAAGGACACTGAAAGAGTAATTTCTTTTTTTGCTTTGTGGTTAGGCATGGTGAATAAAGCTGAGAGCCTAGGGAAACAGGCAGTTATCCAAGCTGCCTTAGTTGTGCTGTAATGCCTATGGTCTTGCAAGTCAAAATGTGGAGGTAATTGGTCATCTCCAAGGCTGATTCTTCCCTTGATTTTATTTAAAGATCACACAAAAGATGTGAATAGTCTTCTTTAAACATCTTCTGTCTCTTAATAACATTCACTGTCATATTCCAGCATCCTCTTTTTCTGCAAGAGATCTCAGTATTTTTAAGACTTCTTCCACTACAGTTATTTCTTCTAACCTGCTTGGTTTTCCTCCACAGCTGCTTTGCCTTTCAGTTGCCTTCCAAAAGTGCTCACAAAATTTGATTCACATTCACACAGTGAGAATGTAAGAGCTCAGAGATGTCTGTGTGTTAATGCTCTGTGGGACTGAATCTTCACAGAATCAGAGTTTTAGGGGTCGGAAGAGACATTTAGAGGTCATCGAGTCCAGCCCCTGTGCTAAAGCAGGTCCTCTACAGCAGGAGAAAAGATAAATTCAGTAATATATCTTTGCTATAGTAATTTGCCTGTATTGCTGTGCATATGAACCAAGTGCATAAATGCATTTTGATCTAAATAGCAAGGTGCAGATGCTGAATAGCACCTTGCACCTGCCTTGTCCTTGATGAGACATTAGCAGAATCTGCTTCATTAGAGAGCATGCATTCGAGAGCAAGAGTGCTGTCCTGCTGAATGCAGAAGCAGTAGAAGCAAGTGATGTCTACAGAGAAAAAGAGTCCCAAACTGGAGAGTGACAGAGCTTAAACATGTGAATAATGATTTGGAATTGTTATCTGACTCCCTGGGCATCCTCCCTCCTGAAATGTGCCTTCAGGTGCAGACAGGTTCAGTGTTAGAATTTTTTTCCTAGGCTGTTTGCCCTCCAAAGGCATTGCTACTCATGTACGCTGTATTTTTTAACTGTATGTCTCAGAAACAAATGTCTACTTTATAAATCACTGAATATTTTGCTGCCCATAGAAACCTCAGAAGACACTGTCTCTTGTAGTATAACTACTGTGTTGAATAGTGACATGATTTGTCTAATGATAATTGGTGCCATTGTCCTCACTGTCTGTATGTTTTCTTTTCAGCAGTGTCTCTGTTGTGCAACTTTTTAATTAGAAAAACGGTATCTTTTCATTCTAAAGTTTGAGCTCAATTTTAGTGTGTATCCTCTACTTTAGGACACCTAACCCTAAATGCAATTCAGTTTTTAAGCCCTCAGCAGTTTGCTGCAATTGAGTCAGGATCCCGTGGTAGAGATGACCACGGGATGAGGTCAGAACGAGATGAGATGAGGTTAGAACTAGAGAGATCTTGACTGGAAACTGTGATCACTTCCTTTTCTTATTTATCCACACCAATGTAAAGGGAAAAATCAACCTTAAGGGAAAATCATTACAATGCAAGGCTTCTTTTTGTCATTATATGTAACACACCAATTTAAAAGTTTGAGGGCATGTAAGCTTAGCTAGTTTTGGAACAAGAGACCTGAATCTGTGCAAGAGTGAATAGAAAGATTATTATGATAAACTATCATTTGACTCAGAGGGGTTTGAAGAAGAGCTTGTATTAGATGATTTCTCAGACCACATTTTCTGTATGTTTGATAGTTCTTAGAATTATGTGCATCAACAAGTTCTTTTCAAAGAACAGGTGTTAAGTTTCTTAAGCTAATTAAAAAATAACAATATGGTAATTTCTTGTTGAGCAGCCTTCAGTGGCCTATGTCCACACCACGCCAGGCTTACCTTCAGGCTGGGAGGAAAGAAAGGATGCAAAGGGCCGTACTTACTATGTGAATCACAACAATCGCACCACAACCTGGACACGGCCCATCATGCAGGTATGGAGATCTGTTACGTTGCTCCGTTTAGACTGCGTGCATTTAGATGGCATCACACTGAGTATAATTCCAGTGGAAGCAGCTCTTTAGAACTCCAAACTTAAAAAAAAAAAATAAGCGTGGTCGCAACAGTTCGGGATAATCATAAAAAAATGCAGTTGGGATTTTTGTTTTTTTGCTTCTCTTCACTTCAGTTAGTTACAGATTAAGTTGATGCTACAAGGGAGGGCATTTGCAGAGAGGTACCAAACACAAATAAAGACAAAAGTCTCCGTGGGTTTGAGTTTGAAAGTTCTTCTGCTTAATTAATAATTCCAGATGTTTTGTGTCTTTGCTATGGAATTAAAATTAAATAATGTGCTTGACTGTAGTAGTCATAATAACGATCCTGAATGCTGGCGTCGTTTTCAATTGCTTTGACTTTGGATGAACTGCAGTCTTGATGACTGGCTAACTTGGTTGTGCATCTAAAACAGCTTGCAGAAGATGGCATGGTTGGGTCAGCAGCAAACAGCAACAACCATCTGAGTGAGCCGCAGATCAGACGGCCCCGCAGCCTCAGTTCACCCACGGTCACCTTGTCTGCTCCCCTCGAGGTGAGAAGCACTGTTAGCAGCACAGACCACTTGTACCTGACTTCTCTCTTGGTTACCTCTATAACTTTTTCGCTCCCTTTCAGTTATGCAGCACAGCACTGCTGTTGTTATAACATTCTTAGTGTTATTTTCGACATGATGTATTGCTGTTTTCTTCTAACATTTTTCCACCTGAATCTTCACATCATACAGTAGCATCGCTTAACTTTGATCATTGAATGATGTGAATGAATAGTCTGTCTGGCACGTGCAATCAAAGATTATTTGTGTTTTTCTTGGATGATTAGATCTCACAAATCAATTAAACATGGCTGCATTGAGGAGAGAAAGTTACGAAAACCTTCATCTTCAAATGGAAAGTGCAGCACCTTTTTTGTCCTTTCCCACTTTTTCTGCTGGACAAATTGTTGAAAACCTGTAATTTCAAGCTGATATAAGAAGTCTAAACCTACACTTACTTGTTTTAAAGCCACATTTAAATGTTCTTTCTGAAATTGTAGTTGAGACATCCGTTAAGAAGTGCAAGGCTGGATGTGGCTCTGGGCAGCCTGGTCTGATAATTGGCAACCCTGCCTGTGGCAGGGGGTTGAAACAAGATGATCCTTGTGGTCCTTTTCAACCCAGGCCATTCTGTGATTCTGTGATAATGTCACTTCACACTCAGCATACTCTCCTATTTGAACTAGCATCTATTGCACCGCAGAGTGCAAAGCATTGCTTGTATCTTTTCCTTTTTAGAACGAAATGTTGACGTGCACAGATCAGCTTTAGTAAAATATGTAATCAAAGCGGACATTATCATCGCATAGGGATATGATAAAAGTCTCTGCCCTTCAAAGTGAAAATCTTAATGAGTGACGAGGAATAGCTAATTACTGATAACTTTCCTGCATTCTAGGAAATCAGTGGTAGTGCTTAATAGTAGCGTAAATTGCAGCTGGAATGAGAACCTTCTTGCTGTGATATCACATTGTGTCCAGTTTCCTTTATGAAGTGGCATTTGGCAAATCCTTGTACCTTCCACACCACAGGGCATGAAGGACTCCCCGGTGCGCAGAGCTGTGAAGGACACCCTTTCCAACCCGCAGTCTCCACAGCCCTCTCCCTACAACTCTCCCAAACCACAGCACAAAGTTGCGCAGAGCTTCCTCCCTCCTGGCTGGGAGATGCGGATAGCACCCAACGGCAGGCCCTTCTTCATCGATCACAATACTAAAACTACCACCTGGGTAAGGGGAATTCTACATCATGAACCTCAAATGGCTTTGTCTTTGCTGCTCTGTTTTCCAGGCTGTAGACCCTCTATTTCGCTTTGAAATTGGTCTCGTGTTTGAGATGCAAGTTCCGATCAAGGGATTTGTCATCTGGAGTTTATGAAAGCTGAACACAGTGAGACTGACTCCTCCATGCAGTGGTGTACCATAGCCACCATCTGAAACAGCAGATCTGATGCAGTGGCTGTAGTGGTGCCACTGCTACACTCAGAGAAAGGAAACTTATTTGTACATAACCACTGGAAGTCGTTTTTGGTGGATTTATGTATCACGTATCTACCATAAAGTAGCACTTTGTGCTTGAGCTTTTTATACTTGGCAAACCATTGCATACAGGTATTGCCTTTTAAATTCCTCAAATTTGGGTTTTGCTGGCATACAGTGTGATGGAGATTTGGCGTGGTGTTCAGTTTGAGGCTGCCTGTAATTCTTGAATTAGTTTCCTGTTTAAATAATGTATGTTCATCTTTGGAGCAGAGTCCATCTTATTATTTGTTTTGTGTCATGAGGATCTGTTTTCCAATAATTCTACATTTTCAGTCAGCAAGTGGGGGAAAAATTAAAGTAGGAAAAAATGTCAAAGCTGACTCAGCATTTCATGTCACCGTTTAAATACAAGTGGAACTTAAATTTTATAGATGTTATTCAAATTCCCAGCAGCAACTGTTTTAAAGGAAATATTTCAAATGGTGGCTCTTAACCATGTTCCCAGATGCGTGTGGGTAGGTTATGTGTGGAGATCTCAATCACTGTGACTCCAAATTGATCTTCTATTTGACCTAATTGACCTATTTTACTTGCCTCTTTTTACATCTTTTGTTCATTCACGTGATATCTGGGGTTAATAAAAATGTAAGAGGCTCATTTACATCATTTTCCAACCTTTTCATGAGAGAATGGCTTATTTCTTTTGAGGCTTTCAGAGCCAAAACTGTATGGATGACTCTAAATGGCACTTAGGAACGCATGCTTTGCTAAGAACAGGCCTCTGGAAAGAACACCCTTAATAAAGTCTTACCCACCCTACCTCTTAACATCCAAAAAAATCACCACAATTTATTAATTTTAATAAAGTATGTGGCAAGGCTAAACATGACATGTTGTATTTATATGTTTGGGTTTTGCATTTTATTCTCAGGAACGCAAAACTTAAACGATAATTTTGATGTAGGAAGGTGGCTGTTCCAGCTGCTGTGTATGACTTTTTATGCAGATGCTGCATTTATGGTTGCATGTATCTGTTACAGGAAGATCCACGGCTGAAATTTCCAGTGCATTTGAGAACAAAAGCTTCTTTGAACCCCAATGATTTGGGCCCCCTTCCTGTAAGTGACAATGTCTTTGGGTGTATACCTGCTATCTTGTAAGAACTGATCTGCTCTTGCAGTCTTGTATTGTATGCATATGCATACTGTTTGCTCTCATCACTTTTATGGAGATCCTAAAGCAATGTTTTTTACACCAAAACAACTCTTATCAGGGAATGAGTCAGGCTGTGCAGCCAGCTCGTAGTATTTCTGCAGTTATTAAACATTTCTTTGTTTATCTGAAGCTTTGAGCTTTGAAGAAACTCACCTTGTTTTTATCTCTGAACATGTGATTTTAGACAATTAATGGTTAACTAGCTGATAATTAACTGCTGTAGGAAAAAAAAAAAAAAAAAAGAAGCACATTGCTCAAAGTGAACTTTGTTTCTGTTACCAGTATATACTGGTGTTCAGAAATCTAAATCAATTCTGATTTTTGAATGAAACTTCCATATTCTGCAGAGGAAATGATTGTATTAGCCTCAAAGGCTTTGTCATATTGGTAACCAGTGCATAATAGTGATTTGCACGTCGAATACAGAGCTTTGCTTTGTTTTTCAGGAGCTGTATCTTTTTGTCAGAGGATAACCTGTGAAAGCTGACACTTTTTCTAAGCTGCAGACCTTAATAGTGTTATGTTAATTGCCTTACATACACTAAACATGCTTTTGAAAAATTGCCACTGGAATTGTATTTGCAGCACTGGAAGCTGCAGTGACAGTAAGCCATCAGTTGTCACCAGCAGACTCAGCAGGTACTGCAGACATGATGTCTGCAGACAGTTTTGCCTTTAGGATGGGTGGCTGTCCTGTTGTACCAGATGTGGCACGTTAAGTTATCTAGGTTTTGAACAGATTGAATAGTGAGTCTTTGGTCGTACTGATTTGCACTGAGCTGGGTTGTAGTTAACTGAGAACTGCTCTGCCAGCAGACTAGAGGGAGCACTTATGGGCAACAGGTGACAAAAGCAGTGAGAGGCACAGGCATCCTCCTCTGAAACATCCAGACGTCTCCCTCTTCAGGTCTTGGTTAGCTAAAAGTTATGCCTTGTTTTTAAGTCAAGCTAGGCAACTTGTCAGGGCTCATATCTCAAAATTCTGGCTATATTCACTTGAACCTATTTATTACAATGAATTTTCTGATTTAAAATACAGCAGTAATGGAGCATTTAGGAGAGCAGCTATAGAAGTAACTGATATTTGTAGTTTTTCTCCAAGGACAAGTTTGCTTGATGGGAGGCACTGAACAGGAGTAACTTAGCCTGTTAATTCCAAGAGGTAAAAAGGTGCTGCGAAATGAAGGCAGCCTGACATATTGGTACTGTTTAGTTAGTAACAGGCTTAAACAAGCCATTTTTGACAGAGGCTGGAACCATGGAACGGTTGCATTGGAAGGGACCTCACAGCTGCCCAACCTTTGCTGTGGGCTGGCTTCCCCCCAGCTCAGGTACCCAGGGTCCATCCGTGGCCTCAAGCACTCTGAAGAGTTTTCCCCTCACATCTGGTTTAATTCTGTGCTCTTTAGTTTAAAGCCATTATCTTTATCCAATTACTGCACTCACTGATTAAGTCTCTTCCCAGTGTGATGGTTGCAGAGTTGAAGAAAAGTACTTTTGAAAAGGTGGAAGTGAAATAATTTCTATTCTGTGTTGCATAGAGGGCTGAAGCTGGCATACAGCTTGTAGGTGCAGTGAATACTAGATCAGACAGCATTGCATCAACCAGCAGCGTGCCATGTATTCTCCTTTCATTACTAAAATTGAGAAAAGGGAATGGAGAGAAAGGCAAGAATTGAACACTAGGTGAGCCATCCTTGTCTCACTCTCAATATTTACAGTAAATAACCCACAGGTGTTTCAGAAGTGAAAGGAGAAGCTCTCAGAACTGAAAAATGGTGGGCAGCCTATTCTTTGTGATTGTTTTCTCACTGTAGGAAATGGATGTGAACCCCAATGCAAGAAACTTCCACTTCAGAGCCTAAAAAATACTTACTGTATTGGATATAATCATTTGCATAAACAGAGAATGCTTTGAATCATGCCAGATTATTGGCCTTGGCATAGCACACCTGTTTCTACTTGACAGGCATCTGTCAGACAATTTAAGCTGGCATGGATAATGTATTGCTTCATGCTGCGTGAGAATGGTAGTATTTCACTTATTTTCTCTGTTTTTTTGTTTCCCATTTCCAGCCTGGTTGGGAAGAAAGGATACATTTGGATGGAAGAACGTTTTATATAGATCATAGTAAGTAAGCACTCAGGTACTGCAGCAATTAGACAAAGGGAGGTAATAAATATCGAAGTGAAAGCTTTGTAATTTTACTCTTCATTTAGGAAGCCAGGTGTTGATATGTGGAGACATTGATACCAGAGACTTAGTGCCCTCCTACGGTACTGTACATTCACCAAAAGCTTGCTTATAATTGGCTCATCAAGCTTTGTCCCTCTCTGACTTGTGAAGCATTAACATTTTTTCTTTGTGGTTTCTTTTGTTCTTGTTGATATTTTGGACTCTTTGTTGTTGTTGTTGATGATCCCATGGCTTATTTGCACTTTAATAAATTAAAATGTACATTAGGAATAGAAAGTAAGATGGCCACAGCTCCACATATAGGCAGCAAGTAAATTAACACTGATAATACTCTCTCTCTTCTCATCTGAGGTCTTGTGGCAGCATTGATTCTGAGCTTATTTCATATTTATAGCATGTTATATGGCACCCAGCCTGATATCTATTCTGACTGTATCCAACTGATATCTATTCAGTTCTTCTGTTAATGAAATTCCGTTGTAGGTGATGCTTCAGTGTAGATTTGTCTTACTGCAGCCCCTCAGAAAAACTGTGTTATTTCTTGTCGATTAAAAACAAAGCAGCACAAAAAAGCTTTTTTTTTTTTTGAAGATTTGAACTGGGCCTTCTAATGGGGCATTTCTACTGACAGGATAATCTTCACAGAGGTAGTAACTCAAAACAGTTGGAAGAGTGTTTGCTCCACGAAACTCAACCAAAACCTCCAACAATTCTGTGTATTTGACAGAACTTCAGTAGCATTAAGTCCTAGCATAGGATTTCTCCTTCAGTAGCATTAAATCCTAGCATACCTACAGTTTTGTGTTACTGAATCATTATTAAACCATCTTTGCCTCTAAATGAGTTACATAATTTTAAATAAAAACCAGAAGTAGCACACTCACAAAGAAAGAGATTAGCCCTTTCAGACATCAGCGTTGCTGTGTTCTGTATGTCTTCCTTAATTTTTAATTGCTCCTACCAGTAGATGTCTGGAAATAAATCTGGCAAGTTATGCCACAGAAAGGTCAAAGAATAAAACTTCAGTGTTTAAGATACCTGTATATTTGCTGGCCCTCCCTCACTTTAAGTTATTCAGTCTCTAAAAATGGAGTGCTGATGTTATATGTTCCCTCAAACAGTTTGATGCTTTTATAAAAACAGGTGTATTTGCACCTGAAGCCTCTCTTTGTTCCCAATCCGAGCTTCTTTAGCATTTTTGCAGAATTTATGAGTGTTGTTTGTTTGGGTGTTAGGCCTGTTTTGGTGGGGTTTTTTTGGACAACACTATTAGCTTCTATCAGATTGCCCTTGAATCTCATTGTTGGCTCCATTGTACTACCAGGGGACTTCAGAATTAGAGGTGATGCCAGGGGCATTACAGCAGACTTTGTGATGAAGTTGTGCTCAGTGCTTTGCAAATGACTGCAAACAGCAGTTTATCAGTTTATTTGACTCTTAACAACCATTGTAGCATTTCTTCCCACAGTATCATAGAACCACAGAATGGCCAGGGTTGGAAGGGACCTCAAGGATCACGAAGCTCCAACCCCCTGCCACACGCAGGGCCACCAACCTCCACATTTCATAGCAGCCCAGGCTGCCCAGGGCCCCATCCAACCTGGCCTTGAACACCTCCAGGGATGGACGGGGCATCCACAGTCTGTAAGGAAGTGCAGTGGCGTTTGGCCGTAATGCCAGCTTTGTGGCAGAGCCTTGTGGCTCTTAATTGTTTCACGAGTAACTTGAGAACATATGCTGAAGTCAGCCGTGGCTGCAACCAGCTGGGCTTGCTCTGGAAGCAGGCAAGTCTTGAGAGTACAGCACTATGATAAACTGGCTTAGTTAAGATGCAACAAATGTACTCCATTTCATTACTAGAATACAGCTGAATCAGATAACTTTCAACATTTATGCTGCTATTGATGTCCTGGCTGCCCAGGTATGTTTTTGAATTGGTAATAGGCATGATTATTTCATACTGTTGCCCAGTTTTATTTCATGTTTTTCTCATCCCTGAGAAAGACTGTAATAAAATTCACTGCAGCCAGCACAGAAAGGACCACTGTGGAGCAGCACAAGCTGTTATGCATGCACAAGCATGCCACAAACTAAGAAAAGTAAAGCACAAAAAAAATAATTTAGGTGCTACTTTAACTTAGTGGTCTGAAAATATGATTCTTTTCAGATTTTAGTTGTAAGCTGTTCTGATTTCTCAGGAGCCATGTAGGAAAACATGTTCTACATCTTAGAAGGTATCATGAAGAACAACACAAAGGCTTTGCAACCAAATTCAGCATAGTTACCAGTGGTTCACTGAAGGAGGAATGGATGTGTTAAATGGGTTCCCTGTTCTTCAGCATGCTGAGAAATGAATTAGAGAGAATGTGCACAATGTATTAGTAGAAAACAGCAACATAGGAGAAGCAAGACGAGCTCACTGGAACAGGATTAGGAACCAGAATGGTGGTGATGAGGTGTAGGTGCAGTGTGAATGTGTTTTATTATAATTGCAAGGTACAACTCAGAATAGGAAGAGTTAGCAGAATTTCTTTTGAAAGAGACATGAAAAACATCAGCTGAGTGTGAGTTAATTTATCCTGCGGTGCATCAGCAGGAGCATCTTAAATAAGAGCAGAGGTAATCTTCCTAAGCTGATTAGCAGTGGTAACATCTATGACAATGAAGCTCAGGGTCCCAAGCCTCAGGGGAATAGTGGAACCAAAGGAACAGAGGAAATCCTTCAAAGCCCAAAGGCCTGATCCGTGAGGAAAGAGAGAGAGTATTGTGTTTGTGTGAAGAACCAGGAGAGATCTTTTAAAACGTGCTGCAAAAGGAGTTAATTTGATATCAACATCTGCTGTGGACAGTACAGTAATACAGGGAGTCTTGTGCTACAGTTCCAGCTCCGGTGGGTCGAGTTGGGCTCTTCTCACTGTATGGGCACTGAAGTCATAGGAAAGTAATGTGAAGTCCCTATTGCTGTAATATTCTGAAAAACAGCTTAGGCAATGACTGATCAGTGACACGTCGTGCTCTTAAACATATCCTAGAGCAGTAAGAGAGAATGGACAAAATCTCTAAAGTAATTCCCAGCTCTGCTTTTGATGTCATAGAAATTTACCACCGTCATTGTGCTTGTCACTTTCAAGTAGGTGTAAAAAACGAGTTGGTATAAAAGCAGTAAATGTTGCAGAAGTGATGCGACTGACCAAGAAGCAGCCATATGAAAAGGCCAGCCCAGGAGCCAGCCTGTTGGCAGGCAGCAAGCTGTGCAGAATGTGTGGCTCCCAGAGCTGTCGTTCTGACAGCCTTCCTCCATAATGGCCATAAAGTGTGAAGGAAAATAAGACAGTAATTTAATGTGAAATTAACTGCTAGGCCAAATTTGCTGGAGTGTGCCCTGTGATGGTTTTGAATTTTCTTCAGTAACTTTTAATGAGAGGCAGCTTACAAAATCCAGTCCATTTTAAAAATAACTTGGGGTGCTCAAAACTTAGGGGTCTTTTCTGACTATAGAAACATGGAAAGTGCCTGTGCTAACTATAAAACAAGTGGACTTGGCTCTTTGCTTTTACCTGTAGTATCCTTAAAAGCAATTTTCTTCAAGCTTAGTGTTCTTATTCTCAAACCAAGAGTTACAAAACCTGAAATCCTGACTATTCCTTTAATATGCAGTTTATAAATCAAAGTGTGTACCTAAGAGATGTATTATTATTACCCTTGCAGTGCAGGAAATACGACTCAAGCCTTGCCGTTGGAGGTGGCATTTAGTTTGGTTTTTGGAGCATTGTCTTGTTGCAACATCATCATTCTGTCGTGATTCTGTTGTGTTCAGAATCTTGTGAGGAGCAGCTGTCTGGAGGCAGAGAGAGTTTCACCGTGGTCCTGTATAACCTCACTGTATGACCATGCAATGCTGCTGGTGCTCTTGAAAGCTGTAGCTGAAAAGAACTGAATTCTGTTACCTTTCTGCCAAAATAGACTTTGTCTAAACTGAATGATTCCTTATGCCATACTGTGTGCTTAATGATGTTATAAATTTCTCATTAAAATCAATGTCTAGGACTTCTTTTTTTCCGAAGAGATGCTATCCCTTCACTTCCAAATTTAATTCAGACTGCTTTAAAATTCCTAAACTTTGGCCCTCTTTATGCAGAATTTTGAATAAGTAAACTTCATCTACCATTGGACAAAGTGTTTGGGTTTCTTTCCCCTCAGCCATGAAATCTGTATTTTTAATACGAGTTGAATCCAAGATCATGTTCAAGTAGAACATGTTTACTGCTACTGGTGTTGAAATAAAAGCAGTGTAATTACACTGAATTATGCTGTACTTCTGCATTTTTGAACGAGTCTTTTTGACCAAACAGTGTGATGGGATTTTGATGGAGATGGGTGAATGCATTATTTTCTAACCCTGAAATACTGAGCTGTGGAAGTGGTGGTAGGAAAAACATGTGTAGGGAAAAAAAAAAAAAAACAACAAACACGTACATTCACAGTGCGGTAGCAAAGTAGTAATAATATAATTTATTTTGTTATTTACAGATAATAAAATTACCCAGTGGGAAGACCCCAGACTGCAGAACCCAGCAATTACTGGTCCTGTAAGTACTGCTGTGGTTCTTTTGGCGTGAAGTGCTGTGACTCATGTACCTTTGGTGTAGGCAGCAGTTGTAAATAAGCAACAGGTCATGCTTGTATTCCACATGACAGAATCGATGCCTGGTTGGATTGGAAGGGTCTTTAAAGCCCATCCAGTTCCAACCCCTGCCATGGGCTGGGTGCTCCCACCAGCTCAGGGTGCCCAGGGCCCATCCGTGGCCTCCAGAGATGGGGCACCCACACTTCTCTGGGCAGCTTGGTGAGTGGAGCAGGAGGCAGGACCAACCTTGGCTTGCTTTGTCCTGAGGGAGACTCAGATGAGCATTTTGTGAGTCTCCAAGGGCAGGGGAACTGCTGTCCTGTGCCCTCCTGGTGAGGTGCCCCAGAACTGGTGACACTCAGTAACCCTATTTTGTTTTACATACACTGCGGTGCACTGGAGACTTTTCCAGCCTGCTGCCAGTGGTCCAAAGCAGAGTGGGGTTCATGAGGAATCACTGCATTGTTTGTCACTGGTGTGCAATGCACTTCATTCCCAGCTCAGGCAGTAGGTTCAAAGCTGGTGGTTCTTGTAGTCTTTCCTACTGATGGCTACCGAGGTATGGCATTTTTCATGCATTACAGCATGTTTTCTTCCTAGAAGCCAACACCATATGATTTTGACTGTCTAGGAAACATTCTTGATTGGTTTGTCACAGTAAATCTCAGAATACGTCTGTTTCAGCAAAAGGAGAAGAGGGCTCTTTCTTTAGCAGGATAGAAACCGCTTTATGTGACTGTTTTTAATGTCTGTATTGCTGTGCTGTTTCTGTGCAAAGCTCCATCCGCTCTGAAACTGCAGGGCTGAATACTCTGAGTGGGGTTTCATGCTGAGATGCCCGGAAGGTCATTGGTTCTCATTTTATTCTGTTCTCATCCTGCAATCAGAAACTTTCTGTGCTAGGCGCTGCGCTGTGTTCGAATCGTGTATTTTGGTACAGAGCTGTGCGTGAGGGGCATCTGCTCTCATTCTTTGATCAGAAGATCTTGGGAGTTTTGTACTAGCCGAGCAGTAGTAGTTTTATCACTTCCTCTATGAGAGTGGGGTTAACTCACTGAGGGCTGTGGACATGCAGTGCTGTGTGGGTACATGCTGCATCCTGCACCTTATGATTCATTTCACAGCTCTACCTGGAGCCTCACAACTTGTTCTAAGGAGCATTCTCAAAATTCTTTGTATTTTGTCTTTGTGCAACACCTTTTAATCCTTAGCACTTCCAACTGTGTAAATCCATAGCTTTTGATAGCAGCACTCATTCTTAGAAGTCATAAAAATACCACATGACGTATTATTGTTTCCTAATGAAACACACAGATGACAATATTCATTCCAGTCATTTTTCTCTGTGTTAAAAATAGTTTTTGCTCTTTTCTGTTCCAAAAATAAGAAAGAAAAGAGGCTAAGTAGATAAACAGAAAATGTGGGTAAAAATTTTGGTACATCTTCACTCAGCTTACACACTGAGAAGGTTTGGTGTTCTGTACTTCATGCATGTGTTTTTTTTAATGACTCAGTGAGTTACATATCTAGATAGCATGTCTTCAAATTTATATCTTATTTGTTTAAGTATAAAGTAGCATAACAAACAATACGTAGAATAATGTGTATTTACAATTCTCTCCATAGGCGGTTCCGTATTCCAGGGAGTTCAAACAGAAGTATGACTATTTCAGGAAGAAGTTGAAGAAACCCGTGAGTATAAGCGTGCTGCTTTGTGCTGAGGTCTGTTACGTCTGGGGAGAACAAGTGAGTTGTCCTCAGGGTAGATACAGATGAGTGTTTCTTGCTGTAGCACATTTGCCAGTGATTCTTGGTTGCCCTACTCCTCAAAGGAGTAAAAATGAAGACAGTGAAGAAAAGTTTGAATTTGCTGGATTTCTGAACAAAAACATTTATGTATCTCTAAGACGCTCATTTTCTGGTATGAACAGAAACCCGAAGTGATGACAGAGGAAGGAAATGTCATCTACTCACTACTGATTGACATTTCTCCTTCATCTTTAATGGTGGATTTGAAGGACAGAGCTGGAGAACGCTGGTTGAATGGAGCCCACAGCGTTACTGAGTCAGGCACAAGCTTCTGGTGTTCCTGTTCTGCAAAAATACCTTCTTTAATTTCAGTGAGCAGTAGGTATTGGCCCACACCTGGGGTCAGCTGGTGATTCACTGCAGACAGCCTTTGCAGCACGAGTCCTGACGCAATGGGGCTCGCCAGTGCCTTTCTCTCTTTGCTGGTAGTTCCTTCCGTGTGCATTCTGACCAATGACCAGATGGACACAGTAAGCACCTGCAGGAAAAGGCAAACCTCTAGACACACTGCTGTCGGGTCAGTCTTACCAGGAGAACTGTGCCTGCCTGTAACTGTCACGAGTTCACCCAATCTTGTGCCTCTGTTTTCATATGCTTTATTCAGTTCTGTCCTGCCTTTCTGAATTTCTGGGCTAAATCTTATTGACTACTAGTGCTCTCGTTTTTCAGACAGAAATTCTCAAGCATTTTGGCAGTCCCGTTCTATTTTGTTCAGTTCTGCTTTATGCGCAGTGGAACAGTTCTGGCCTTTACAGGTATCCAAGTGAAAGGGCAACATGAAGCATCATGTTTGTTATCATGGAATCACAGAATAGTTTGGGTTGGAAAGGACCCTTTACGATCACCTCATTTCAACCCCGCTAGGCAAGGACACCTCCCACCAAACCAGATTGCTCAAATCCAGCCTGGCTTTGCAGCTGTCATGCTCTTTAAATTCGACACAATTAAACTAATATTGTTCTCTCTTTTTTGTTGTTGCATTTCATGTTGTTCTCAGTGTTTTACCAAGTATCATAGAAATCTCTGATCCCTGGGACTGGAACATACCCACTTCACTGTAATCTGTCAACCTGTATTGGAAAACAAGCATAAGGAGAAACTTTGCACACTCAGATGTCAAATCCATCCTTTAGTTTTTAACCTCTAGTCCGTAATTCCCTGAAGATCATGTATTCAGACTGATAAGTAAAATGTACTCTCCTTTCACACAGGCTGATATACCAAACAGATTTGAGATGAAGCTACACAGGAATAATATTTTTGAGGAGTCCTACAGAAGAATTATGTCTGTGAAAAGACCTGATGTACTGAAGGCCAGGCTCTGGATTGAATTTGAGTCAGAAAAAGGACTTGACTATGGAGGTGTGGCCAGAGAGTGGTTTTTTCTCTTGTCCAAGGAGATGTTCAACCCATATTATGGTCTTTTTGAATATTCAGCAACGTAAGTGTTCATTAAAATCTTTCCATTTGCAAGCAGTATGCATTAGATTTTGCATGAGCAGGGAGGTTACATTTGGGAGTAGTTAGGTCATCCTTGGTGACACAGTTGTGCACTCTTGTCAATCAGATCTGCGCTCTCATTTCTTTTGTCCTTCTTGAGGACCTTTCATGTCACATAAGGCATTCTCACTATTAGGACAGTGCTTCGTGTTGCCTTACTGGCAGCAGCACAAACTGTCGTTTGTGGGGCGAGCAGTAGCAAGTGGAGTGATGCAGACAAAAGACTATTTGTGCCCTCCCAGAGCATCGTAAAACACCTGCCTTCCAGAATTGTACTGCTTCTTTGTAATTAGCTCACAAAACAGCTTCTCGTTTACATTTCAGTAGCTACACAACACCGGTCCTGCATGAATTCAAATGCATTCATGTCCAATTTTAAAACCCTCAGTGGTTCATTTATGTTAATGAGAGAGCCAAGTCTCCTGCTTAAAGCACATTCCTTTTGTGTCTGCCTTTGTAATCCCACACCGTGTGCTTAACCACAGGAGGGATGGATTTCTTCTTTGCAACAGTTCTTACGTTTTCAAGTCAGTGTCATACTCATTCCTTCCTCTTATGAGTGTTGAATGAGTGGTAAAGTAGATGAACAAAGGCTGTGCAGTGGGAGTTTTCTCACATTTGTGTCTCGGAAAAAACACGTTCTGATTTTGGAGGGAAGCTCAGCTTAGAGAAATACAGGCTAGCTCAGAATGCCCCTGGGTTAATACTTTACTGGGTGGTGTGTTTTGCAATAGCACTTCCACTTCTGTGTCTTAAGTTGCTACAGGTCCTTTAAAAGTAACTCTGTTCTCATGTGAAGTTTGCTTTCATGGAAAGGAGTGTTTTAAATTGTGAACATTCACAGTGGATTGATTCTGTGCTGTAAAGTTCAGTAAAAACATACTGGGCAAGGCCTGCTTATAACCAGTGAATCTGGAGGCAGTATTTCCCTGAACTTTCCACCACGCACACAGATGGAAAAGGTGAATTTAAAATTAATTGTACTTAACCCCACAACCAGGAGGATTATGAGGAACCTTTGTCAGATCATCGTTGTGAGCATTAATGCAGCGTAGACAAGAAGTGGCCCTGAGCTCACGTTGTTTATTAACATGCCTAAATATCTGTTTACTCAAAGATGTGATGATTTAGATTTTTTTCTTGCTTTCTTCAAAAAAGGGACAACTACACGCTTCAGATTAACCCTAATTCAGGTCTTTGTAATGAAGATCACCTTTCTTATTTCACATTTATTGGACGAGTGGCTGGCCTGGCAGTGTATCATGGGAAGCTGCTGGATGGTGAGTTACTGCACTGTGGCTATGCTACTGCAGCTGGACTTTTGTTAAATAAGTCACTTTGATAATTAATGTGTGTCAGAGTGTAGTGCATCTGGAAATAAAGTTAGAATGAAAGTATTGAACTGGAAGCTTTGGAAATTGTATTCCTGCTCTGAATGGAGATTTTGTCAAAATTGTAGCATCTTGCTCAACCAAAACATTTCTCATAAAGCTCTGCTTCCTTCTTCACTCTTGTTAATCTCCCTTTCTAAATAATCTCTATGGTAAAGGATGACCACTGCATTTGTATCAGGCCTTTCCATGCAAAACAGCTGAAGCTGGAACAGTTACATGGGTACCAACTGCAGCATGCACGTTTTGTAAATCTGTTTCCCATTGGTATAACAATTAATTAAATTTTTTGCTGGGTTTCAGAATCCCAGAATAGCCAAGCAAGCAGTGATACAGACTGTCTACATTTTAGTTAGTGGTAATGCCTACAACACTGCATTGTTTTTGAGAGGGGAGGGACAGGTGGAATACCTTCAGCTCAGCGCTCCATCTTCTGTGCCTCTACCACTGAACTGATATTAATTGCACTGGTGTAATTCTTGTGATTAAAAGAAGGACTTTCTGTGTCTGAATTAAAAATGAGCCTGCTGTTAACCTGAGCAGTTACAGCTCAGGTTTCTTGCGGGTATTTCTTTGCAAGTGTGTGGTGCTCTGTCTTAGAGCAGGCTGTCCTTGAGTAAGGTGGAAATGCAGAGTAGTGGAAGTAATGCTTTTCCCCTCCGTTTTAGGCTTCTTCATCAGACCTTTTTACAAGATGATGCTGGGGAAGCCAATAACGCTGAAAGACATGGAATCAGTGGTAAGGACATTTCACCCTTACCAGCTCTAGAATTTACTTGAGGATTTTTCCTTTCGGGAAATCAATATAATTAATAAATTAATTAATTTCTCCTTCACCTTTCTCTGTTCTGTACCCATGCCCAGAACAGAGACCTTTCCCCAAGGAGGCTGTGGATGCCCCATCCCTGCAGGCATTCAGGGCCAGGCTGGATGTGGCTCTGGGCAGCATGGGCTGCTGGTTGGTGACCTGCACACAGCAGGGGGTTGGAACTGGATGAGCGCTGTGCTCCTTTGCAACCCAGGCCATGCTGTGATGCTATGATTCTTTCTCTCCCTCCCTTTCTTTCATCAGTCTTTAATTGTGAAGCCAATACATAACAAAGATGCAGCCCTTTCAGGAAGTGTTAACTTTTACTAATAACAGTGTGATCAGTTATTTTATAATACATAAATATTGATGTAATCAAGTGGTGTATCTATTGTGTTGAAAACAACAGCTTCATCACAGAGGTATTCTTTAACCAGTTACTACATGTTGCCATGTACACATGTACCAAATATATATGCACAATCAGTTTATTGCATAATAACCCTTAGTTACAAAGCAACTAAGGGAACTTACACAAATCTGAAATTGTACCAGCTGAAAAACACAAAGATCAGTCATATCATCCTTTACAGTAGCTGTACCAGTAAACAGACTCCAAGCTCTCTGCAGCCCCCTGGAGTTCTAGATTTAAGTGCCTTTATCTCTTTAATGTCTTTATTTTCCAACCTTGTTTAATTTTAATCTCCTGTAGGACAGTGAATACTACAACTCCTTGAAGTGGATCCTGGAGAATGACCCTACGGAGCTGGATCTCATGTTCTGCATAGATGAGGAAAACTTTGGACAGGTATGTAAACACTAACCCAGAAGTCTGTAATTCCATCTTACTGGTCATTGCCAAAAAGTAATTAACTACTGGGCAGTATCTCATGGTTGTGGACTTAACTGGGACTGCTGCATGTTAATCATCAATACAGGCAGACTTTGACTTTCTTACTGAACTATTTAAGTCTTGAGATGCCAAAGAAGGAGGTTGTATTCTTGCCCGTGAGCAACACAGTGCCTTGCTGAAAGGCAGTACTTGAGGCTAATAAAAGATAGAATCCTCATTAGAAGTGGACTCAGCCTGGGACTGCGTGGGGTTCTACAGTTGAAGATGTTCTCAAAGAACACGAGAAGAGGTAGAATTATAAGCAGCAGAGTACCCTTTTAAGACTCTTTTAATAGTGCAGGCAGATGATACAACAAAAGGAAGTCTGTTTGTTTTGCAAAGATTCACAATTGTTTCTGTTACAACAAAAAATGTTCTGGTCACACTTGAGAACCAGTAATGATGATGGAATTTTAAGTCCTCTTGGCTGTATCCTGTTTCAGCTTACCTAACTCAGTGAGCTACAGATAAATCCCAATAGCAGCTGATACAATCTTGTTTCCATCATACTGCTCGTGAGAGGCAGAACTGCATGACAGATTTTATCACAGAAAAGCCTGAAGCTCAGTAATATCAGGGTAGGATCTGCTGTACTGCAGAGTAAGCTAGATGGGTAGAGACTGGAATGCCTCATGCATGTAAATGCTTGCAGGATGTTTCTCAACAATTCAGAAGCTGTAAAACATGGCAGATAATGAATAATTTTCTGCTTCTGCATTTTCCACTTACTTCCTACTTACTGGTGCCAAAACTCTGGGGACTCATGGAAGTCATAAGACCACAGAATCACCACGGCTGTAAAAGGCCACCACAATCATCCAGTCCAACCTTCCCCATACCACCAATACTTCCCACTAAAACATGTCCCTCAGTACAACATTTGAATGTTTCCTGAACACCACCAGGGATGGAGACTCCACTCGCTGCTTGTTTTGTCTCAGGCAGCACAGTGCTGCTGAAACTTGTGGAACTTGGTTAGGAGATTGTACTGCTTCCACACAGATGTTCAGTATGTAAGAGGGAAAGATTTGCATTGCTCTAAGCTTCTGTGTTTGCTTATACTTCAGTTATCACCAGAATCTTTCTTGAATTAAAGGAAAAACAAGATAAATCTGATATGTGATAGATAAGAATAGGATTTTGCTGGTGCTCACAAATGAGTAAGAAAGTATTTTCAAGATATAGAGGATGGAAAGCGTCCTTCAGAAGAGGAGAGAATGATGTCTCTCTTTCTAGTAAGTTCACAGATCTTAATCACAGACTCAGCCTGGGGCGGGCAAGGCCCTCCAGCTCTCCCTGCCCCAGCTGTGCCAATAATCTTTTCCCAGCACTTTGAAGAATTAGAAGGCGTTTTTCTGTCCTTTTGAAGATGGGAGGATGTGTTTTCTTTGCCAAATTTTACCTGACGTTTTGCAATAGAAGTTGGAAAATAATTTACTCTGAAGAGTGACTGTAGAATTTCTTCCTAATTACGTCATCTTTAAACGTGAAATATTTTGATGTCTCATTAGCTATTGCAGTGTAATAATTTTCTAGTCCTGCTTGCAAAATGCCTCTCGGGGGTGGTGGATTTCATGAGAAGCATGTCCTGAAATAATAATGCCCTGTTGTATTTTGTTCTTTCTTTAAAATACAGACGTATCAAGTCGACCTGAAGCCAAATGGGTCAGAAATCATGGTAACAAATGAGAACAAAAGGGAATACATCGAGTACGTATATGTTTGTGGAATTTACCCTGAGTTTAACTACAGACAGTGGTAATGCTTTGGAATTTACCTCACTGCAGTTATTGTAGCACAAAGAATTGTCAGAAGTCCTTTTAAAAGAAAATCACTTTGTTAACACGGTTTGTTCACACTACCAGGAAGTTGGAATATTAACCTCTTTGTTCAATGAATTACTCTAATTAAGGCAGCCTGTGTCATGTAGTAGGAAGCAGTATTTTCTTGATGTGTTGGCATAAGGAGTACTCAAGGAGGCGTGGAGTTGCCCCCAGTGGCTGCAGACACCAGTCTAAATTACTCGTTCTGAGCACCCTCCAAAACTGATGCAAAGATGGCATTTCCTGGATACAAGAATTACATTACAGCAGCATATGAATCTGGCCTGATTCGTGCCTCATTTTCTGCACTGGCTGCCCACCTAGGTAACTGCCTCTGCTTTGTGGGTCTCCTAAGCAGTAAATTTCCACCCTGGGCCGCAGTTCTTCCTGATGAAGTGCTATCACAGAATGCAAATGAAGAATAAGTGCAGATCTGAACAATAAACTAATGAGACAAAAGAGTGAGAATAGGACATCGTGTTGCTGAGGTCACATTTGCTTCCCCTTTAGTTTTTATTCAAGGAAGGGTTCAGGATCTCTGCACGTGTTTAAGTGCTCCTTTAAGAGGAATACTCTGCACTTTGTTCACCTCCTGTGCAGTGTGGTATTGCAGCAAAGTGACTGTAACAGCAAAACAGTAACAAGTTCCCCGTTTTATTATTTGTTTTCTGCTCTTAGTTTGGCTGTGCAGCATATATTCACGCCGTCAGCAGTTTAATTTTTCAGGCATTCAGGCAGTTTTTGTTGGTTTACGGATGCAAAGTATTAGATGCCATAAACACTCTCCATCTCTGTCACCTCCATGTAGTAAAGCAATAAAGAAGAGCTCTTTGAAAAGGTGTGCGCCAAAACAAAGAGCTAAATTGCACCTCCACCTCAGTAATTCTAGATAAATGCTAATGTGGTGTTTTTATAACTTCAGAGTCCATGCTTGTGGTTACATACACTCATTTCTTAGTGTTTGATGCAGTTTAATTTGTTCTAGTGCTTTTTCCAAGAGTTGTGTTATCACTGAGGAGTTCTAGTTGGTGCACAAGGGAAAAAAGAAGAGAAAAAAAAGAAAAGGAAAGAAACTGCAGTTGTAGTCACAGAATCACAGATATCACAAATATATTCATGGCTCTGGAATGTAAAAAAAACCTCATCATTTAGGTACCTAATTCTTACAGTAAGTACATTATCCAGGGTCTAGACTATAGAATTTGTAGCCTGCATAATTTTAATAAAAAGCAGCCCAGCTTCTCTAATGTAAAAGTATGATTGAGAGATACCTAAAGTTGTAAATGAGAAGCTGCTATTGTTAGGGTTGTTAATTAGTCTTCTAATGAATGTGTTTATGTATTTAACTCCCATAGCCTGGTCATCCAGTGGAGATTTGTAAACAGAGTTCAAAAACAAATGAATGCTTTCTTGGAGGTAAGTTCTCTTTTTTGTCTTCCTTTTTACCCAAACTATGTACGCATACATCAGTATCTGGTTAGAGGAGTGGGAAGTTGTGCACGACCACACAGGCTCTGCTGGTCTCCTAAGATCATTCTCATTCAAGTTGTCATTATTTGAGCTTGAAACAGCAGTTTTTAAATAGAAACTCATAATACTTCAGGAACTGCATATTTTGTTTTCCAAACCCTTCTTTGCCCTCCATCACTTACTTAGCTCACAGCTTTCTCCAGATGCGAAAGTTCTATCAGATAAAACCTTAATTATACATAGTTTGCTAATTTTACTTTTTCCCTTAGGGATTCACAGAACTTCTTCCGATCGACCTGATTAAAATTTTTGATGAAAATGAACTAGAGGTGAGTTGGTTTATGTCCAGAGGCGACAGATGGGTAATGCTCATTGCAAAGATGGGTGACAATCTCAGTTCACTGGTCATCGTGGAGTTTGGAGACAAAGGTTCTTTGCCTTCGTGGGGAATGAGGATTTTTTTCCCCCAAAATTAATAAATCTATCAATCAAGTAAAAGCAGGGAAAGTATCAGTTACTCAATGAGGTGGTTTAGTACATGCATATGTAAAGAATGCAAGTAGCTTGCTGCATTAATGACATGTACTGGTCACGTTTCAGCAAATATGCTGTAAAAGACACTGTCACATGAAGCCTACATACTGCATACTGCACAGTGTTTCTCCAGTAAAGTGGTGGAATCTTTGAGAATTCTCCTGAAGAGAAGCTCAGTACCACTTTATGTCTGTATTTGCATTTGTATAGTGTTAACTTTGAGAGGTCAGGAGAGGAGAGGTGGTTTTTCTGATGGAGCACTCAGGGTAGTCCTGGTACCGTCTTCAATTAACAACGCATCAATTATTTCTGTATTTAGTTACTGATGTGTGGCCTTGGGGATGTTGACGTTAACGACTGGAGACAACACACAATCTACAAAAATGGCTACTGCCCAAATCATCCTGTCATCCAGTGGTTCTGGAAGGTAAGGCTCTCAGCGCCTTCGGTTTCTCTGACTATACCTGGAAGTCAGAGATCCCTTAGTGTGTTGTGGAGTCAGTTATGAAATCCTTTTTCTTCTCAAAAACTACTGGAAAACACGTTGGTAGATGCTGGAAATGGCAGTTGTCATCCTTAATGGAGTCTGTATTGGAATGGCCCATGGTTGACAAAGTCTCTCTGGTTTTATTGAAGTGCTTTGTAATCCTTCTGAAATACAGTACCTCTATGAAAAGTGTGTATTTGCAGGAAAACCAGAACAGTTTTCCTGTACTACAGAAGTACTGTGAGTCACCTTGCACAGACGAATGGCAGTTGTGGTTCCTGGCTGTTGCCTGGGCATTGTCACTTTCCTTGCTATAAGCAGAAAAGAATTCTTGTTTAACCAGAGAGAACATAGCATGCTGTCCTTCGAAGCTAGATATGTGTTTCTTACCATGTAATACAAACAAATTCTGTTCTGCTTATTTCAACCATGACACCTTCAGCCACGACAAGTCACCCTGTCTGCTTCTCCACAGGCTGTTCTACTGATGGATGCAGAAAAACGCATTCGGTTACTGCAGTTTGTTACTGGGACGTCACGAGTGCCTATGAATGGATTTGCTGAACTTTACGGTAAGCTTCCTGCCCTCTGCCTGCAGATCACATGCTGCAGGTGGCTCCTCAGGAGAGCACAAACACTGCTGAAATGCTGGCATGGCCAACCTTTACTCCCATATAAAACTCCTTGCACTGAATGCCAGCAGCGCTGGAGAAAATGTGGGCACTGGAAGGGAAGCATAGTTTTGTTCATAGAATCACAGAATCGTATGAGTTGGAAAGAATCTTTAAAGGTCATCTAGTTCCAACCGCCCTGCAGTGAAGGGGACATATAGAGCTAGATCAGGTTGCTCAGAGTCCGAGCTCAGAATTTCAGGTCCAGCCTGACCTTCAATATCTCCAAGGACAGTAAATCCACCACATCTCTGGGCAGCCTGTGCCAGTGCTTCATCATGGAATAATAAAATGGCCAGGGTTGGAAGGAACAGGATGATGAATCTCCAGCCCCCCCGCCACACGCAGGGCCACCAACCTCCACATTTCACAGCAGCCCAGGCTGCCCAGGGCCCCATCCAACCTGGCCTTGAACACCTCCAGGGATGGACGGGGCATCACAGCATCTCTCGGCAGCTGTTCCAGCACCTCACTACTGTCATAGCAAAGAACTTCCCCCTGATATCCAATCTCAGTCTTCCCTCCTTCAACTTCAAACCATTTCCCTTTGTCCCCATGTTCACCATGGGTGTTCTGCTGATGTTCTCCTTGCCCAGGAAGTATCAAATCCCTCAAAGAAAATGTCAACTGTAGTAAAGCTCATAGCACATGGAGAAGAGGAGATTGGAGGTCTATGCAAGTGTGGTGGTTTTTTTTTTTCAGTGTTACCAGTCTAGCTTACCTCTTTCACATGGTATGTGCTCTAAACAAAGAGTAGCTTGGGGAACTTACTAAGTTAACTGCATTTGGAAATAGTATATATCCACATCACTATTTGCTTTAATGTAATTTTGACCTAACGGTGTTTGCACAAAGTATTTTGTACCAGTTGGAAGGGGAAGTTAAAATTAGAAGTAAACGGGGCAATGCGATTTTTCATACAGCAATTGAAGTAGTTTTGGTAGGGTCCAGTAACTCAAGTTTCTTTTTTTTTTCCAACTAGGTTCAAATGGTCCTCAGCTGTTTACAATAGAGCAATGGGGAACTCCTGATAAACTGCCCAGAGCTCACACATGGTGAGTCCAGAGCGTGTGTGTTCAGCCATCTGTGCATGAGACTGTTTGAGTGCAGGTGGGTCTGGTGTGCGTGTCACAGCATGTTTGTGTCCTAAAAAGAATAGAAGATGTTATTTAACAGATAGAAAATCAACGCACGGACTGGGCAGGCAGACACACACACATGGAAACGTGAGAAAGGTGATGTGGTTGGTGCTGGCTGATGGACGTGCATGCTGGCTGCCTGTGTATCCACAGCTCGTTCATCCTCATGCAGATCCATGCATTTATTTTCCACGTTTTACGTAGCAGTTTTTTTCCTCTTCAGGGGTGGTTAAGAGCAGAAACCTTCCTATTTTCAGAAGGCAGTGAATAGTTTCTGAAAGCTCCCAGGTTGGCCTCATGGTACCCATGGGAAGCGGCTGGCAGTGGTTAGGTGTGCACAGCCCCTGTTTCTCCAGTTGGATATATGCTCCTGCCTCACGCCCAAGTTATTCAACCTTTTCCACTGCTCTCAAAAAAGGCACTTGAAGCATTCCAGTGACTCCATTTTCCTTTCCCTTCTGAATTTCAGCTTTAATCGCTTAGACTTACCTCTTTATGAATCCTTCGACGACCTGCGAGAGAAGCTCCTGATGGCAGTTGAAAATGCACAAGGATTTGAAGGAGTGGATTAGGGCGCTGCTTCCCACCTTTCGGCGCGTTCTGCTGCGCTTCCACTGCTCCACGTTGGACTCTGACTGTGGCAGAACCGTTGCACAGCGCTGGTTCCTGGAGCAAACTCTTCGACAGTGCGTGGCCTAAATGCAGAATCTTGAACTCTGGTCTGTGGGAGGCTTTTTTGGCATTTCCACAGCCAGTTACTATGGGGTTATATGTACTCTGATTACATTTCAGCAGGACTTACTGTATTTATGTTGTGCCTCTGTAGGCTGAGCCCTTAATAAAAATTTTACATAATTTCTAATGACAATGAATGAAATTAATCATTTTACAGGGATAGTGTTACAGCTCATGTTTACTTTTTAATTGATTTAGACATTTTCAGATTATATTTCATTACAATTAAATTTCATGTACGTGGGGGATAAATGAGCATTTTTTCTTAATTTCTTACCAGACTTGATGCCAGTGTCATTTTTTTCAAGCTCATTTTGAGCCTTGTGTTCCCAAGCTCTTAGGAAAATAGGAGATAGTTATCTTGGAATTCTTCTCTATATTGGCTATATCAAGAGCACATAAATATTTTTCTGTATCTGGAAGAGGTATGGATTCTATGTTGCATTTTTGTATAAATAATAGTTATGAGTCGAGGGACAGTCATAACATAGCATGCCAAATCTCATGTTCAATAAAGAAATTGCCTCATTATTCCTTGGTGATATTTACATGTACTGAAGAACATTTTGGGGTAGGGTTGGCATTAATCATTTAGGAAAATATGCTTAACCCTGTCATTATCTTTGTGTAGTGGTTCTTTTGTTATCCTTTCCTCTTTACTGTGTGCAGTGGAGGCATTTTGAAGGAAACCTGGCACTGTGTGATTTGGCGTGATGGAAAACAGATCTGTTTTGTCTCCTATTTGTATGCATTTGCTAATGATATCTAAACACGGTATCTTTTTGTTTCTAACTGCACCAACTCTAAAGGCACTTTATGTAACACATTGAAGTCATATCTGTGTTTTTTTTTATCATAAACATTACTGTGATTATGTTCCTTCTCACTGCACATGTCTTTCTGGTGCAATATCTATCAATTGTGAGTTTGGCTGCTGCTGATGTATAAGAGGAAAAAAACAAACAGCTGTAGAGCTGAGTCTGCAGACATGTTCCTCAGCAATTGTTTTCGTGATTTATTTTTTACTTAATCACAAAGATTTATTTAATATACACTGCTATCTATCTAATCAGTTTTGTTACCTATGACATGTTGCATGCCTAAACTATAATGTCTTGAGTTGCATCTCTTGTGTGATGGATTAAAAGTGAAAGATTTGTATTTGACCCGCTGAACTTAAATGGCTACAGCACTGCGGCAGGAGGTGTGAGGGTACGGCTGCATAGCAGCTGGGGTCAGCTTTGCCTTCTGTGCAGCACTTTTCCCCAGGAGCCCACCTGATGCTCTGTGGAGCAAGGTGGTACAGCGTGGAAGCAGGAGGTCACCTCTCTGCCCAGCGCTTTGCAGCACCCACCAGAGGCACTGCCTGCTGCTGGCACAGAGCAGCCACCCCATGGACCTCAGCAGAGCAGTATCTTAGGGCAAAAGGCCACTGAAAAGAAGGCTTAATGCTAATCACGTTCAGCAAGTGCTGTGTGCATGTCAGCAAAAGGTTTGAGGAGCTAACAGATGCATGAAGGTGTTTTAGCATTTGAACACCAGACTTAACCAATTCTCTTGATGTCTCTTTCTAACCTTTTGCATTTTATAAACCCTTTGCACTCATAAACCCTTGAACAAGAGAAATAAGTGCATTTCAGTAGGTAAACAAACACAAACAGCATGATGATTTATTGGGGAGATGGAGAGGATAGGGTAAATCCACAACCTCCTTGGCAACCAGTGTGCCCAAGGAGGCTGTGAATGCCCCATCCCTGCAGGCATTCAAGGCCAGGCTGGATGTGGCTCTGGGCAGCCTGGTCTGGGGATTGGTGACCCTGCACACAGCAGGGGGTTGGAACTGGATGAGCACTGTGCTCCTTTGCAACCCAGGCCATTCTATGATGCTATGAAATGCAAGCATCTGCACAGATAGACATTACAAGCATTATAGACATGAATGCCCAGTGCCACATACCTGAAAGCACTCCTGAGATTTTTTTGGCAGAACTGAAATCCAGCCTCACGCAAAGGCTGTGACCCAGCAGCAGTGCAGCTGAGATGGGAGCAGAAATCAGGATATTTCAGAATCACCATCGTGCTTTGATCCTGTCAGCAGTTTACATCAGCAGTTAAACAGTTAAACTCCCGGTGCACTACATGATGTTATGGGACACCAGTCACCAATAATCATCGAACCATGACAGATCCCTCCCAGCTTCTTCCCTTACTGATGCTTCCTTTAAAGTCCTTTCAGGCCAAAAATGAAATTTGTGGGATCACTTTAATCTTCCATATGATCATTGGAGATGACTTACCTTAATTATTTTTAATGCGCTGTCTCAGTGAGTGGGCCCTTGTGCCTTGGCCTTGTGCAGCACACGCTGAAATCCGTGCTATGTTGGCATTCTAGCAATTAATGAAAATAGTTTAAAAACGCCATTTGTGCCTCTTGTGCCCAAAGAACTGCAGTCACAGCCCCTACAGCAGCTCTCACATCAGAAAAGAAGTCACTTTTGTTCAAGAAAAGCTTTGTTCAACACTTCATCAACAAAATTATTCCTAATTGCCCAGGTGACCATAACAGGAAGCCAGCCCATTACTTCTCAGTGTCCTCATGAGCTGCACTATTACTACACACCACTGCTTTTTGGCTTTGCAGGTGCAGCTTTGGAGCACAACAGCTCCCCTCACTGCAAAGTGAACCTCTCCTCATCCTTTTGGGATTCAGATTGCAAATGAGCATGGCTACATGTAAAACAAGCTGAAGGGAACTGCTCAGCCCAGTCCCTCTGCTGCACAGAGCTTTTACTACCCCAGCGTTGTGCACACAGAACACACTTCAGATCATTCACCACGAAATGACTCATTTAAAACTTTCTATCGTGTTAATAAACGGCAATGTGTTATTTCCTGAGCCATTACTTCTTGGCTCATGCAAAACCTTACAGCAAACTCGTGGCAACTTGCAGTCACAGTGTAGAGCAGGCATGTCCATGCTGCAGCCCACCACCAGCACGGCAGGGACAGAGCTCCTCTCCAGCAGGTCAGCCCCTAACCTGGACTGATGCATGGGGTTGCTCCTCCCCAGGTGTAGGGCTCAGCACTTGCTCTTGTTAAACCTCATCTTGTCCCTCCCTGCACAATTCTCCAGTCTGTCCAGGTCCTGATAAATGGCAGCACGGCCCTCTGGTGTGCCAGCCACTCCTCCCAGCTTCGTATCATCAGCAAACTCGCTGAGGTTGGACTCTATCCCTTCATCCAGGTCACTGATGAAGATGTTGAACGAGACCAGACCCAGCACTGACCCCTGGTGAGCTCTACTTTGACAGCCTCCAACCAGGCTGTGCCGATCACAGCCCTGTGAGCTCTGCCAGCCACCAGCTCTCAGTCCACCTCACTGCCCACCCATCCACTGCACACCTCCTGAGTTTCATTACAAGAATGCTGGAGGAGACAGTCTGCCATCTCCAGAAAGGTGCACCATGAAAGCACAGCAGAAAATGATAGCCACCTTTCTTGTAGCTGCATTTTCCATTACCCAAGTTCAGGCCATCAGGGTATGCAGTTTTCCAGCTCTTGGAATTACAAGACCTGAACAGGAACTAGATGTGAAAGGTTTGCAAGTCTGGACATTCGGTGTTGCACCTTGCTTTGCTGTATTGTGATCAGACAGCAAGCTGAGGTCTCTGCAAAAAGTTCCAGATGATGCATGATGGCTGCTCAGTGCCTACAAGTGAAACATGGTTGGGTTTCCCACTGACACAAAGAGGACACAGCTCCTCTTGATGGCCTCTCTGCACCCCACTGCCCCAGTCAGCCTTCAGAGAAACACCCCACTACCACTGGCTTTGCAGAAGTCAAGGGAGCCTGTCACTGAGCTAGGTCCCCAAAATAAGGCTCTCTGAATATCAAATAGGCAATGATATATATTAACAGGGAGTGCAATCAGGTTAACCATGAAACTTCAAATTTAATCTTTGCCCAGCTTGAGCCTGGTAAAATTGAAATTCTCCTTTGGACTTGAGTGAGCTTGACCTGGATGCACTCTGGTCCATGAAAAATGTATCATCTACTGGCACAATAACGCTTGCAAATAGCAAAGATAAGAAGGTAATACTTGTACCATGGTTCCCAGCAGTGCAGTACTCTCTCGCCTTGAAAGATCAAACTGGCAAAGACAAGTGCACAAGTTGTAACCACCACTTCATTTCTGCTGTGTGCAAAAACAGGTGCCAAAAACCTGGGGCATCTGCTTGTTCTACTAATTAGGACTAATTACTTGCCCCATTTTGTCAGGCTACATACTGCAGCGTGGGTAGATGTCTACATGTGCCTATGGCATAGAGGTTTTCAGAACAAGGTACTGAGCTGCCCTCCAGGTTGCTGTGTTTTTATCCCAGATCTCTGTCACTTCTTGATTAGACAGAGGATGTGACCTCCTCCTGCATTCAGTTTTTAAACTAAAAGCAAAACTTTGAACCTTGGCCTAAAGTTAAAGAATAACAGAGATGGACACTGGATCGATACCAGACAAATATTAGTCCCATGCAGTGGACAGATGCTGCTCTGCTGTAGATCTAACTCTTTCAGTATGCCAATGTGGAATCTTTAGGTTTAAAGGTTTCTTTACATACAGAAAAAAAGAGAAAACACTTTGAAGTAGCTGGAGGTTAATATTCTGTGCAAATCCAGCCATCTCCTTCCTCCCAGAGCTGAGAACTGAGCGCTGCAAACAACATTCTCTATCTTCTGCCATCCCAGTCACTTCCTATATTCCAGAGCATTATTTCTGTGAAAAATCATTTTTAAGAAAATTGCCCAATTTTGAGCAGCTTCCTAGTCAAGCATGCAGACATTCAATAATAGTAAGCATACACTACTTAGTGATAAAGTAAACAGAAGCTGTGATAACATTTCCTCAACTCAGACCCAGCTGTGCCCCTGGGTTAAAACAAGCATCAGTCAAAATCATGATTTCACCTCTATGAGGGCAGTTCTGCTGCACCAGAAGAATATGAACTGGAAAACTGTAGGCTGAGGTGCAAAGGCATTGCTAGGAGGATTGCAGCAGTCCACATCAAGCCACAGTTGCAAGGGAAACAAATACGGTCTTCAGAGTGTCAGAGGCCTTTCCTCTGACAAGCATGAAGGAGAATGACCTTGGAAAATAGAAAATCAGAATATTTCAGGACGTAACATCTAACAGCAGCAGGAGTGATATTTAGCATAAATCTGGGGCTTGATTGACTGCTGCATATGCTTAAAATTAACCTGCAGAAATAACTAATCAGGCTTTCTACTTGGACAGTGGCCAACAAGAAAATGCCATTTTCTGGGGCCTCTGAGGGTCAGTGCATATACACACACATCTCCATACCACCTTTTATCTGTGCTGCAGGCATCTGTTTAAATAGCTCTGTTTGAGCTATCTGTCCATACAGGGGACAGGGGTGCAGTGACCACACGGTCAGCCCAGCTGGTCTCCACCAGGTTGTCTGCTTGTCCTTGGCTACTGCCTGCTGTTGGCAGCCTGAGGTAGGGCCAAAAGCACCCAAAACCTCGAGCCAGGGGTATGGCAAAATCCCAAATCATTGTGCAACGATACTGTAAAGTATGCTGGAAGACTTCTGTAGACCTCTGCCTGCAAAACTGACAACTGCCTCCATTTTCTTTTCTCTCCTGGAGGAGGAGAAACCTGCTGTGAGCTGGCTGCCCCCCACCAGCTCAGGTTGCCCTCTCCGTGTCCCTGAGCATTTCCAGAGATGGGACACGCACAGCTTCTCCGAGCAATCTGTTCTCTCTTGTTCTATCACTATTAGACTACGTAAAAACACAGTTCCCCTCCTGCTTATAACATCTCCCCAAGTACTGGAGGGCAGCAATGAGGTCTCCCTTCTCTTCACCAGGCTGAACAAGCCCAGCTCCCTCAGCCCTTCTTTACAGGGGAGATGCTCCAGCCCTTTGATCATCTCTGTGGTCTCCTCTGGACCCACTCCAACATCTGCACATCCTCCTGATGGGGGCCCCAGACCTGGATGCAGTGCTGCAGATGGGGCCTCACAAGAGCCGAGTAGAGGGGGACAGTCATCTCCCTGTCCCTGCTGGCCACTCCTCTGTGCAGCCCAGGATATGGTTGGCCTTCCGGGCATGAAAGAAGGGGACAGACTCTCTAGCAAGTTCTGTTGTAATAGGACAAGCAGAAGTGTTTTCAAACTATAAGAGGAGAGATTTAGATTGGAGTTGAGGATAAAGTTTTTTGCAGTAAGAGTGGTGAGGCCCTGGCACCGGCTGCACGGACGGGCAGTGGTGCCTCATCCCTGGTGATCCCAAGGTCAGGCTGGATGGGCTCTGAGCACTGCTGGAGCTGTGGGTGTCCCCGTGCACTGCAGGGAGTGGGACCTGATGGCCTTTAGGGGTCCCTTCCCACTCAAACCGTTCTGTGATGATCCTGACATCCCTTCCAAGCTGAAGCATCATTAGATGATACGATCTCACAGTGCAGCTCACAGAGCGATGGTATTTTCTCACTGTTTGTTCAGAAGGAAATTACACGTGGCTATCAGAGACAACACACTCTGCTTGAATTTATCAGTGCTGTTCTCATCAGAGGCTGCATTCTCCAGATCACACTGACATAATCCCATCCCATCTTTTCCTTACTTAATGTACTGTGTGTGTGATGTACCTAACATATGCCAACACGCAGCTAGGGCAGCTTGTGTGCATCCAATTTACTTGTCTCTGGCTGAGTTACTCACCAATCCTAAATTACAAGGGAACTTCATGTTCCACTAGCGTTTAAGAATTGTGAAACGAGCTGAATCTTGCTACATACATCACTTAGTTTCAGCAATCAGCCCGGCCCGTTTGTTCATTTACCTGGAGTTAAAACAGGGCTCTGACTTGCTGCTTACAGAGGGCCGATAAGAACGATTAATATTTAACATTCCCCAGCCTGCTTACGTGAAATGGCTCAAAGGAGACACCCATAAGAATGTTGCAGCCTGAATCAGCAACGCTGGAAATGGGTGCTTATTTTCCCCACCAGAAGGCATGTCGCACAGCACTGCCACATGTGTTCCCCTTGCAGCAGTGACCGTGTTGCATCAGTTGCATACCTCAGCTCAGCGCCTTGCTGAGAGCCCGGGCACTGCAGTGATAGTTTCACTCCATAGGCACAAAGAACAGTGCAGTGTCCATAAAACTCAACAGCCAAAGCAGAACAAACCCCCATAGACCGAGCCTGCTCACAGATGTTGGAGGTGCACTGAGTTTTGCTAGAGAACAGGCATCATCAAACACCACTATGGCAAATGAAACCCTCTCACACGAATTAGCAACAGAGCAGAGCTGACAAGTCCTGCAGATGTAGCACCTGCAGTAATGATCGAATCAAAGAGAAGCCTTGCTCTCGATGCATTTCAGACTGAGTAATCTTTAACAAACTCTGGAGGAAGGGTCCATTCTGACCCCGAAGCAGCACACTGAGTCTGTTCATCTCGCAGAGCAGCCACAAGTGCCACCTTTGTACACTGCCATGCAGGTTAAGGGCAGCTGCAGAGGACACTGCCTGAAAGTAAGCTGAAAAAAAAACATCAGCTAAAGTCAGGAGGAAACAACCTGCTCTGCACTGGGGACAAAACCAGGCTTGGTACATGTGGCATGGTTTTTCATTTCCAGTCATAATAAACTTCCTCAGAAGAAAAGCAAGTTTTGAAGAGTATTCTAGGAGCAGCAGGTGAGTTGCAAGTTTCATTTCATACAGAATGTATTCTGCAAGTATAAAATCAAAAATGTATTCTTTCTGCTTGCAGATTATGCTTCTCAATCTCTGAATCCCTGAATAAGCCATGAAAGTGAGTGTTGAAATTACTGCAAATTGCAGAGTTCCAGTCTCCATTTCAACATAAGACTAACCACTTGGTCTTTATATAAACTCAAACCTGTCTATCTTCTGTTTTCAAAAGTTTTATCCATTGTTATTACTGAAACAACTACTGCATGTGTTGAATTGATTTCCAATACAACAGGGAAATTACAAGAGTGGAACACGTACTTTCATTTTGCACCAGTGGAAAGCTTTAGCTTTTAAAATAAAAGCCAAAAAATTCAAGATGCTTCTGCTCAAGATGAGTCCTCTAAGACTCATTGTACCTGAAACAGTTTGCAGCTTAAGGAAAACTGTAGCTTAGATGCAGGCATTTTGTTCTGCAAAACAAAAGCAAGATGGAATCAGTGGCTCAGCCAAGGAGCAGAATCATACTGCATTGTGGGGGCTGTGCTGTGGATACGAGATACAGCCTCTGTACAAACAATAGCAGAACAATTCTGCTTTAAGAAAAGATTACTGTCACAACTCAGTTGAGTTTCAAAAAATACATTTTTTCTTTTTGATATATAAATATTTCAAGTGGGTGTTTATTGCAAACTAATTTGCTTCCCCATTCCCCTACCTCTGTGATTTTACAAACTAGTTTTGCTTGTCAAACCCATTTCCCTTTAGATCACTGAGACCAAAGAAATGAGTTATTAAGAAATGTAGCAATGGGGAGGGGGGGGGAAGGGAAAGGAAGGCGTTATAAATCAATTTGTCTTTTAAGTGCATTCTGATCACAATGTTGTATGACCTGGCAAACCAGTGCAGTCACAGCAATCAAAGTTGTGGCCATTCGAATTGTTATGCAACAGCAAAGGCAGCCCATTCCCACTGTCTGCACTTAATTCCTAATAGCTTTACATCAACCAGGTGTCCTACATCAACCAGTGCCTACCACACTCCCACACCAAGGAGAGGTGAGAAACCCTTTTGTTTTCACGTGGAGCTTGTCTCTTCCAAAAGCAAGCCTATGTTTGCACACAGCACATCAATGGTGTCTGTGAAAACATGCAGGGAAGGGCCACAGTACTGCATGTTTCCGTTTTCATGGCAGATGTTTCCAGTGAGGGACAGGGTAGGATGTTGTCAAACATCAGCAAAAGCACAGCCATTAAAGACTGAAAAGGAATTTTTAAAAAAGGTGCTGTTTTTTGGACTCTGGTGTAGCAGGGCTCTACGGAGGATTAATATGCAAGATACCAAGAAGCATTAACATTAACAGCTGCCATCCACTGCAGTATAAAAGGCCCATGTACTGAACTGTAGTTAAATATGGTGCATGGGGCAAGAAAGAGCCACTATTTCCTGAGATCTTCCTTTATTAAACCCATTTCAACCCAGGACAGATGATAGAATCACAAAATCACCGAGGTTGGAAAGGACCTCCAAGATCCTCCAATCCAACCACCCACCTATCACCAACACTGACCACCAAATCACATCCCTAAGTACAACATCTGAACGTTCCTTGAACGCCTCCAAGGACGGCGACCCACCACCTCCCTGGGCAGCCAACCCCTTCCAGGGGGCTGGATGGGTTGGCAGCAAGTATTCCGGTGTTTCATTCATGTGCACCTTTGACCACATTACTCCATAAAAAATCTGACATGCAGTCAGGCTCTAGGTGTAACATAACCGATCCACACCTTACGTCCTGCAACACTTCAGGGACATCACCTCCCTCATTATTTCAGCATCTGAAATGCCAACTTTTCTGCTCTCCAGACGTGGTTCTTCAGAACAATTTGTTGTAGGCATTTGTGACAGAGCCGTCCCTTGCACGACAGAGGACACAGCACACTCCACAGCAGGACACATCTGTTGTTTGTCCTCAATCCATGTCAGAGAGTGACAAACTCAGTCTCCTGGTTCAGAGATATGCACCCTTAAGTAGCGGTCCTCAAAACTCCATACAGGCTATAGGAGCTCCTCCACAAAACCCATGTGAATCCAGCCTCTTCAGCTTCACCACAAGCAAGACTGCTTTCACACAGAGAAAGCCTTGATGCCTGCATGGAGGTCTGAAACTCTACAGCTGTCCTGTAACACATCAGTGAGAGGTTTCCAGGCAAGGAGGACTCACTAACAGCAGAGACGACCCCTTGTCGTCTCAACTGCTCAACTACTCAACTACTCAACTACTCAACTACTCAACTACTCAACTACTCAACTCACTCAACTAATGAGGCTCCAGGTCAGTGTTCCTGTTTCAAGAACAGCTAAGTACACATGCTGCAAATGATGGCAAAAAGGCCAGATGGGTCCTTAGCAAAGCCCAGGCCTCCTGGACCTTGTGCATTGCTGGGATATAAATGCCTAAGCCTCGCTCGTCAACACTGGCTTTGGAATTGCACCTCAACCAATTGCTTTGGGAGCTCCACTGCAGGCTGCTTTGTTAGTGGACTGCAAACACACAGATTGCCAGGAGCTGAACTCAAGAAAGTTGCACTATTCTGCCCTGAATAGCCTTGCTAGGAAAGCCTTCCTGCAGTATTAACCACAAGAAATGTCCAAAGTGCAGCACCCAGCCTACCTCACTGCCCAGGCAATGTAAGACCAACTCTGATTCAGTTCACATCGCACTTACTTATTTTTCCACCCTCAGCAATTTTATGTATATTTCCAGGCATTAAGATGAAGGGAAGCAAGTTTTATGGCAATTTACCTCAAATCCAGCTCATTTTCTACCCATCTTTCTAACCACGTATGTCCATTCTATAAGCAGCATCAAATCTGATACATGGCAAGGGAACAATAACTCCTGCAATTGTAATTGCTGAGTACTGGCATTACTGAGCGTTCACGTTACAATTGAAGATTAGAAGCCTACAACAAGTCTTTCCTGTCTCACCAACTGCAAGCTTCCTCGACCTGAGTCAGTCCAGAAGAGCAGTTTTGGGTAGTCTAATGCTGTCACTATTTCATACTCAGCACACTGTGTAACCTCCAATTAACACTGAGTGTTCTGAAGACCTATCCACCTTGGATCCAAGGACTGAAGCTTATAGAAAGGTCTCTGAGCCACTCTCACGCTGGCTAATATTGAAGACTTACTCATTTTCACTTTGTCCCAACAAGTGTATAACACACAAATCTATTTTCAGCAGCCAGTGGATTCATAATAGGTTTCAAACTGAAAACCAGCTTTTGCTTTCCGAAAGAACATCCTTCCCACAGCAGTCACCACTTACAAATACAACCTACTTCTTTTCTTCCAAGAGCTCTTCAACTCTTTTCACAGGATGAGCGTTAGTCCTATTTCCTCAGTAGAAATCTCTTAGCACACAAAGAGAGTCGTGATGCCTGACTCTCATCACCTTCACTCATCTGAGCAATCAGAATCAGCTGCACCCAGAACTCCTGTATCCTCCCCTGCAGACATACTCCAACAGGAATGCAACTACCCGAAGAGACAAACAAGCAAAAAGAAACATGGATTATTTACCTGTGGTCCTGAAAACAGGACTTTGCGGCAGCTGTTCAGTAGAGTTATGACAGCTAGGCCTAGAACAGCCATGTGAGACTCAACTTCTTGCTGCATGGGACAGTAAATGAATTTGTAACCTGAAGGATCACTACTGTGCAGTAAGACTAAATATGATGTTTATGGAATGTTTGCATTTAGCTAGTGAGCTGTCTGCAGTTTTCATGTCAAATGATCAAGACTTCTTGATTTTGTCAAAAATCAAAAGACTTTTTGTCTTCAAAGCATTGATATTACTAATTATGACAGATAGAGAAGAACAAGGGTAAATAAGAGCAGGACAGAGGGAAATGGTTTGAAGTTGAGGGATGGAAGATTGAGGCTGGACGTCAGGGGAAGTTCTGTGCTATGAGAGTGGTGAGGTGCTGGAACAGCTGCCCAGAGAGGCTGTGATGCCCCGTCCATCCCTGGAGGTGTTCAAGGCCAGGTTGGATGGGGCCCTGGGCAGCCTGCGCTGCTGTGAAATGTGGAGGTTGGTGGCCCTGCGTGTGGCAGGGGGTTGGAGCTTCGTGATCCTTGAGCTCCCTTCCAACCCTGGCCATTCTGTGATTGTATGAAAAAATAAGAGAGAAAAAAGCAACTCCTAAGCTGTATTCAGTATCCTTTTCCTGGCCACCCCTTGGCTCAGTGCACTCCTTGTACATAGCCCTACACAAAAGGAATTCTTTTTCCCATCATCATCAACGTGGCCAAACTGACGGCACAAGAACTGGTCATCTTTTCAACACAGAAATACCAAATCGTTGTTTTCCTGATTTTTTAGCCCGAACCTTCTAAGCCCGAAATTGTCCTTTATAGAAAGACAAAAAGAAGAAAGATTACATCAAAGCCCACGCCAAATTCTTTCAAAATGTACTAGCAGAAAAGTTTCACCTGAAGCACAGCACATTGTAAGCATTCACACCCAGAATGAACTTCACCACTTGTGGAAAAGTTTGAGCAAATAGCAGTTATGAGCAGAGGAGCTGGCATGAGCCGTGTTTTCATCTCTTTGAATTCGTTGTCTATTTCCTTTTTGTTTCTTTGCCTTCTTTTTATGTAGGTGGCATTGGCTGAGCAAAAGTTTGGCTTATGCTGTCAAGTCCTGAAGATTAACTACTCCTGGGATTTGGACTCCTAAGTGACTTAGAGCTGTAGTTCTGAAATAATTATCTCATACTTTGCCCAAGGAGGCTGTGGATGCCCCATCCCTGCAGGCAATCAGAGCCAGGCTGGATGTGATTCTCGACAGCCTGCTCTGCTGGTTGTCAACCTTGAACATAGCAGGGGGTTCTAACTGGATGGGCACTGTGGTCTTTTTCAACCCAGGCCATTCTATGATTCCATGTCTCTATGACTTACAGATCTAAGGTTAAACTTTCTGCATCCAGTGTATCTGAAAGGGGTGGTACAAGGAGTGGAAAACCTCATGGCACGATGACTAAATTCCATACAGTTAAGGACTGGCAGAGCAAAAGAAATCATATAGCAGGACAATGAACTGATACCCCAGTTCAGAAAAGACGTAGAGAGGGAAGCCTATGGACCTCCTGTGCCATCCAGGAAGGGAGAGAGGATCTGCACGCACAGAGATTATTTTAATTCTATCCACAGCCATTTTGCTCAGGAAGCAGACAGATTTTAAGGACAGTACATTCATGCTTTACGCCTTTAACCTGAAGAGAATCCTTAGCCTTCTGTATTCATGCCTGACCTGTCAGATTTAACGGGGAATGCCAGGATGATCCAGAACTGATGAAATGAATTTGATGATTGGGAAATTCAAATCAATTTCGTTTACTGAGCCCGAGAAGTAATCAGGAGAGATCATGGCTTCCAGGTTAAATACCTTTGCTCTACTTTATACTGCTTTAAGTTAATCTTTCTAGTAGTCAGAATGACCAGAACAGGTAATCTTTAACCCCTACCATTGACTAAGAAAGGTCATGTCATTTTCACTGCTGCGATATAAGTTGCCCTAGCTCTACATGCACTTCACTTCTTGTCTTTTGTACCACAGTGGTGATGCTGGTAAAGCAAACGTCCTTAAACGTTCATGAAGTTTGTTGCCCCTTGAATACTGTAAGAATTTCTGTTAGAAAGATAAACAAACACCGTTGTTGCCCACTTTCAAGCCAAGAATTCCTGTAGCAATGTTTATATATGGTCATATCCAACAGAGACGAAGATCAGCATAGCTATGGTGAAGTGAATAGCTTACACCAAAGGGAAGATTCAGACATAACTCAATACAGGTCAGTTTTCAACATCTTCACACATCAAAGCGTCTGATCTAAAAGTTGGACTGTGATTAGTCTGAGTGTTTTAAACCAAGCTATGCCCACACCTGGAAACTGGTGAGGTTCTCTACAGGTGGATTGGCCAACTCTATGTCAGCATAAAACTGTGAGTATTGATTCTATGCTCGTTAAAGATAGAACTGGGGTGAAGATCTGTACAGACACAGCTCAAATTCTCACGTGTGAATAACCCTCATTGCAATAGTTACGTTCTGAGGCTGGAGACCAAGGAAAGAGAATTTCTGCATATCTGTTCCACAAGACTGCAAAATGGGATTCTCCTTGGGCTGGTCCCTCTGTAGTACCCTCTTACACCTCTACATTTCACAGCATCGTGTTTTTCAGGTCAGAATCTCTCACATTAAGGCCCTTCCCCTCCAAAGGCCCAGTTGTCCATCGCTCAGAACTGCAGCATTGTCCTGAGGCTTTTGTCAAGTAAGCTGCATAGCGTGAAGTGTTTGGACATTCCAGCAGGGAAGAGAAAGCTCTCACTTCCTCTTGCACAGCATGGCCCTTTTTGTTGCTATTTTTTTTTTCCTCATGGAAATTTTATACTATCCTGACTTTGAGCGTAGCATGAAAAGAACAAAAACAGAATCAGGGGAGCTCCTTTCAGGATACGTAAAGGAATTCTGATTTGAATGTCTCCAGTTTGAGATAAAGCTTCAAAACATACTTTTAAACAGTTTCTTACTGTTTGTTAAAACTTTCCAGCATGAAAAAACTTGCCAGAATGGAAAGCCCTGTTTATGGAAGGGCTGCTCCAAAAGTAATGCCTCCTGTGTTCTTACGTTGGTTCACAACAGTGGCAACAGCAACATGAAAGGCAAGCCATATTCTGGAAGCCACATACGGCTGTCACACCATGAAATAAAGAGCATCTTGGTCATCTCATCCATGTGAATTGCCTAATGGTGGTGACTATGGTGAAAAATACTGCTTTGTAGTTGAGAATTTGCTCCATCAAATAGTGTTACTGTGCTCTTTGTGTCAGTTGTTGTTTCTCTGTAAATAAATAGGAGGCATTACTTTCAGAGCAACCCACACACCTCTGCATTATCATTCCTTCAATTTGGGGGTTCTTTCCCTCTTTCTGTGTGGAAATGGTTACATTCCTCAGAGTCTGATTTTGCACTTTGCATCCTCTGTATCTTATATGAGACAGGTGACAGGAAAGAGCCCTTGGATGGGCCAAATCTCAGTGTTCGCACAGTGGCACACAAATCAACAGCAGCTGCAACATAAAACAGAGTCATCACAGACCTTTAGGTTGGAAAGGACGCTGGGGGGGGTCACAGGGCCCACTTCTCTGCTCTGAGCAATGCCACCTTCGAAGCCAGATTGAAATTCAACGATAGTTTTGATTCGGGTCATCCCTACGTATTTTCAAGGCAAGAATTTGGCCCTCGGATGAACGCGCAGTGTGCGTTGCACTGTTTGTCCTTGTGTCCCCTTTGCTGACATTTGAACAAAGCAGGTTTTCTGGTTTGGTTTGGTTTGTTTTTTTTTTTCTTTTTGTTTTTTTTTTTTTTTTCAGGAATTTCCAAATAATTTGGCTTTTAATTACAAAGAATTGGACTAAAACCAGACTGCAACACTAATGAATGCTGCAGTGCTGCTTCAGATTCTTAGCAGTGGCTCTGCATGCAGTAGGCTGTTCTTCTCTTACAATGGCAGGTTACCATTTCAAGAAGAGCTTCTATTCAGAAGCACAGAAACACTGAGCAAGTGTTGTTTCCCTGTGACTAAATCCCAGGACATGCTGGGGTTTCTCTGCTGTGTTTGGAGAACACGTGGCATTCTGTTTTGCTTTTCGTGAAGGTGTTCTTGCTCTCTTGCTTTCAACAAGCATATTGACAGACCTCATGTAGATGCATCTCTGCATTTTCAGAACGACACGTGCTGTTTGCAGTAATTTCTAAATAAGTATTTTCCCCATACCCTGTTTTACTATTTGAACAGACCATGAACTACCACCACTACTACTGCTGCTGCTGCCACCATTAATTCCACCTTCTTTGTATTTATCCCAGGTGAGACATTTTTCACTAAAAACAAGCAGTCTATGACTGTGTTCTTACCAAACTCTTAATTCAGTACCCTTCTCCAACACCCTGACATTGAGGATGAAGCACATGCTTTCTTCTCTGGTCTCATTCACTCTTCACTTTCCTACTACCTGTCACGTGTCACATTATTCACTTGTGCTTGCTGTTAATTAAAATCTTCAACAAAACTGGAAATGGTACAGCAATGCTGTTATATCATATGCAATAGGTAACAACATTGCTTTTACAACTAAGGTTAGAGAAACACGTCGCCACAATGCCCTAATTATGATAGATTCTACAGTTCTTCATAAGGGAAAAAAACTATTCTTGAACTATAAAGGCAGTGGTAAGTATTCATGGAAAGAGAGCTCTGATTCCTGGAGTTCATACGCACTGAATGGTTTTGTCTTATTCTGGCAGTGGTGAGGTCCTTAAGGACAGAAAATGTATGTGTGCTCTGTTTGAGGTCTGCCAGCGACTAAAGCTTTAATGCAAGAAGAATGCAAGGTAAAGATTGCCTTCCACATCTGATGTTCCAGTGTTTTTCACCTGCCAAATGGACACATCCATCCAAAATAAGTAAAGCCACCCGATTCTTTGCTTATGTGAGGCGTTGTATTGATAATTCCAATATTTTCTTTCCAATATCAATGTTCCCCAAGTCTGCTACAAAATATTTATATTCTAGTGGAATAGAAGCATGTCAGTCAACACTAGCAGTGAAGCACCAGCTGGTTAACTCTCAGGAAGGTTACTGTACTGAAAATGGGACCCTAGCTTACGTTCAGGTTCAGATCCCATAATAGCCTACACCAAAAATGTGCAATTAAAAACACCTTAAATGTGGAGGTTTATGCAGTGGTCAGGCTGCTGATTATCTGGATGAGGTCCTGAAGCCTGTGTGTAATTCCTGATTTAGCCATCACTGTTCTTAGCTGAAGTCAGGCTTTTTTCCCAGGTCATAGGGACGCTGGAAAATGAAGCCCACATTAAAAAAGGAGAGAAAAGGGAGCTTTCAGTGTTTTTTCCCCCATTCCTTACTCCTTTTGAATAAAGGTGATCCTGGCTCTGTGCAGTGACAGCCATCCCCCACCCCCCAGATCAATATTTTAATATGACTTATCAGAAAGAGAACAAATTGTTTACTTTAAAACCTCAGGATCCCATAAAGGGCAAGGCAAAGGTGCCCCCTGGAAACAGAGGCCTTGAACAGCTGGCCACTGCTGTGATCTCGTAAAAGAAAGCCAGGTTCTCCAGCCACTCGGGCACAGTGATACTCAGCAACACGTCACACAGCAGCACCTGAGTTCTGACAGATCCCAATGGCACAACACAGGACCCCTGTCTGCGATGGTAAGTGCCTTGCCATGCTCGATTCACGTGAGGGAAAGGAGTGATGAAATGGACTAACAGAAAGAGAGTAGTGCGTGTGTCTTTCGAATAGGCAGCACTTTGGAATAACACATGATCTGCAAACGGCCTGTTTGATTTAGCCAGATTTAATGCCGTGGACACAGTGATCTCAGCCTACACTTTCTATTAAAGGGATTAGGTTGGCTTAGGAATTAAACACAGCTGGTAGTAAACGTAGCCAGGCTTCACAGCTTGCAGGGATGCTTCCAAGCCTGAAGGTATGAAAAGGACAGATGCTGTGACCCATGCTGCTATGCTTCTTGAAAAGTTCTCACGCTTGCAATTTTCTTCATCGCTCAAACATTCTGATAACAGAAGAGAAGCAAAAAGGAGAATTTTTTTCTGTGACAATGTGTGTTCTCTTTCTCCCCGTACTGCTGCTCCTTTGTTGCTTTGCTCCATTGCAATACTGAAAGCTGCCGTGTTTCTTTCTTTCGCTACCTTTTATTCTTGGAAATATTCCCTTTTCTATGTAGCTGTTGAACTATGAAGCTGCTTGCTGCAGTTGCATTCTTTATCTGGCTGCCATCTGTATTTTGCAGCAAAGCCCTGAGGTGCCTCTGCCAGAGCCTTGCTTCGTGTGGCTCTGGATATGCCAGATCTGACTCACTTTTGGTTGGAGGGCTTAAATGGAGTAGAATTTTTTTTACCTTTCTTCTCTGATACAGATTTAATTCTGAGTAAAATGTGTATTGGTAAAGGTGGGGGAAGACCACTGCTACCATGATGAGTTAGGGAGAAATGTACAGTATCTGTATATCCCCTTGGCATTGATTCCAACTATCAGTAGCTAAAGCGGAGACACATTCATCAAAAATATCCTCACAGACCTCAAGTATGCAAATGCAAGCAGCACCCTGACTGGATATCAAGTGTTCTGGGTGTAACTCTGCATTTCCCATCATTAATTCAAAGCACTCAGTGCCGTTCTGACACGTGGGATGTGCTCAGGCCCTTTCCTTTCCTTTGGATGTGGCTCCTCTGTAGCTGTGATTTCCTGGTGGCACAACATGTGGCTGGGTCTGCAACCACCCCGCCACTCTGTGTGTGCATTTCCCCCTCTGCACGTGGAGACTTAAAGTCAGTACAAGGTGAAAAGCACTTGGATAAGTCTCAGGCCTGCTCAAGCATCTACAGGCATACTTCCTTGCAAGGGTGGGCATAGCAGAGCAGTTGTAATAATCGTGCTCAAAACCCAAAGCAATCTGACATGGTAAGCAGCTCACAGCCACTCATAGCTTTGCTATTTGCCAGCCACAGGCTGCTCAGAACTCAGCTCGTGCTGCCAAGTCACACTTATTCATCGGTTCAATTATATGCATTTGTAAATCAGTGGTGAAGCTGGTCCAGAGCTCCGCAGACTGTCAGTCTGCATGGGCAGATCCACACAGGTTGAAATAGATTGTGTTCATGAGAAAGTTTCCAGAAAAAAAGAAAAGAAAAAAAGAAAAAAAGAAAGAAAAACAAAACAAACAACAAAAAGTTGCATCCAAAGGTTAGGATTGCAGAAAAAATACTTGTTACACTGTGAAGGGTGTGCTGGTGGTTCAGGTGTGTTCAATCCATGTGGGCAGCAGGACAGTTTGTGCATCTCTCCTCTGCTGATTGCTGTAGAATGGAGCAAGCTAAGCTTCCCTGTCTGAACATCTGCATATGGAAATCAGCGTTTGGAAGCCCCCAGGCCATTAACTTCACCATTTGCTGCTGCACTCCGTATTACTTTCTCAATCCAGGGCTGCTGTTCCTGTGGCAGCCCTCAATCTGTACTCCATCTGGAGAGCAGGTTCTTGTGCTGAACCTTTTCCTTCAGAGCCTTGTCCTCCCCCCAGCCAGCCCCAGTGTTTCAGTGGTGGTATCTGCCCATACACAACCTCTTCTTTTGAGAGAAGGACCTGCACTTCTCACCAGCTTCAGCATGCCCTGTTTCACACTAGGGAATTCCTTTCCTCCTTCTTCCAGAAGCTGATATTTAGGTCAGTGACCGCTTGCTCTGAGCAAGGACAGAAATGTGATTTTCCTTCACAGCTGTACTGCATTCAGACAACATGACTCAGTTCTGTCAAATATTCAGATTTTAAAGAGGAGTCAGTGATAGAGGTGTGTACCTCTCCCTTTCGTTTCTCGGCTGGAAGGCGTGATGGGAGTGCCAACATGGTTCTGGGGATAAAGCAGAGGTGCTAAGGATGTTGCTGTGTGAGAATCACACAGTACCAGGGGAGTGAGTTACCACAGATACTGATGAACATTCACTACCCAGCTTGCATGCTCACAAAGCTACTTTCTATCTGCATAGGTCACTGTTTCTTCCAGTTAGTACCCAAAATGTTCCTGCAGAGACATCACACTAGGTGACATGTTTTATAGACTGAGGAGAAAGTGGATGCAGAGAAGAGCAAGGTACAAGGGCTATCGAGGCTCTATTTTCTAATCTGCTTCCTTCCCCGTGCTCTTCTTTCTCTATTTCCTCTTCGGAATGTTTGCATATTCAGAATCTTTGCAATATTCAGATGTGCTGGTGACACACAGCTGAACTGGTTTAGCAAATCACTGTGCATAAGGTGATCCTCAGGAAGCGTTTTGTACTCTTAGACCAGTCCTCATGAATAGGCATGATATACAGAAACGTTACCTGATTTGCAGGTTAAATATGGAAAAGCACTCTGTCCTGTCAAACAAGCAAAGAAATTGTTCTGGAAGAGGAAACAGTAGTTGTGTACCTCACTAACATTGCTTACTTCACTGTTGGATATGAATGACGAGGAAAAGCAAAGACCACCTTGCTGCCTTCTAAGCGAGGTGGCTGTAAGGTGCTGGCAAAGACATGCATATGGGAAACAAACACTGACTTTATGATCTAACAAAACTCTATACAAGAAAAGCACTTACTGAGTTGAGTCCATCAGTAAGAAAGGCACCAGTCCCTGCGGAGGATGATTCCTCCCTCCCTCCAAAATCCTTTAAGACCAGACCAATGACTTCCTCGAGGCGCCTGTCCATTTCCTTTGCCTATAAAAGCACACTTAAAGCTACTTATCTTTTAGATACTTATCTTTTAGATCACTGCAGCTACTTGACACAAAAACGCTGAGTCCTATTTCTCATGCTCCGTGAGAACACAGAGGTGCTACATATTAAGTACCACACACACGTGGTCTTTTTCTGTGTTTTGCAGATCTCCGAAGCCTCCATGCTGTGTGCCTTTACTTCTACTACCATGGGCTAACCATCTGCTGCCAGAGCTGTGGAGTGTGACAATGGTGTTTGTGTCCAATCTATCAAACGCCATTATCACACTAAATAGCTACTGGTAGATGAGACTTCGAGTCAGAGAAATTAGTGAATTATAGCAATACCTTTATCTGCTGTACTGAGGAATAAATAAGCTTTCTTCATTTCAGGAAGACTCCTTTTATAAGTGGACCCACAGTTGTACGTGGGAAAAGCACACCCTGCCACGTGCCTTTCCAGATCCCTATTGCAGAACACACAAGAGTCACCTACAGGAATCACACCATCAGTGTTAGGAATGTTGATTTCACTGGAGTCAGTGCAGCTGTGGTTGCCTCTGGAAAACAAGGTTGGACTGAGATTTTCCTGTTGGATTGACCATTGCTGTAGAGTACTGAAGCCAATTACCTGGTGAACTCAAAGCCTGGTTCTTATTTTTGCACCAAAGTAAAACACACGTGTTTCAAACAATAATTGGCTGAGATGATTGTGATTTTCAAACAAAGCACCTTTCAAAATTCTGATAAAAAGCTTTTACATCTATCTGGGAATTTATTCAGATTTCAAATGCTTTCGGCTCTGTTCCCTTTTATTTTACAGTGCTACATGTGATCTTTGCAAAGGAAAGATAAGGGCTGGGCTACCATGCAGTGTAAGGTTGGGTCCTATCTCTTCTCTGAAAGGAGCAGGCGAAGAACAGAATGCAGAGGGCCATCCTCGAAACATGCAGCACAAACACAGAAGAACAGGGCATTTGTTAGAGCACTGAGCATTAACACCAACAAGGCACACTGTTCTGTCACTGCTACAAAACAGCCTCAGTCATCCATCAACGCAATTAGAATACAGCTGCAACAGAAGGGCTCCCAGAGCCAGCATCGCACTGCTGAAGACTCACTAGGTCACAGTAATTTCACACAGAATTTTATGGCAGAATCATAGTGAAATGAGCAGAGCTGGTTTATTTTTAAAAAAGGCCTTTGCAAGCAATTTCCTGCTAGCTGAAGCAATATTTGTGCATGTGAGCTTGGGAGGGGGGGTCAAGAGAGCAGAAACTCCTTCTCTTTTCTCTGGCTCTGATGAAGCAAAGTGAAAGTGACCTTGTCTGCACGACCCTCTGGGTAATGTTTTCACAGCAGCACCTTGTCTTCTCAACTTCTGATTGAGAGAGAAATGAATAAAATCCCTTCCCACTCTCATTATGCCTGCAGAGTCTAGGGAGCTTGTGCCAGCCCTGCTTGCCCTTCTCCCGATCACTGGTATTGCAATTTTTCTTATTCGAAGAACATCTTATGTTCTTTCTCTCCTCCCACTCAGTGAACCTCATCTGTTACTTGCCTTAGAACAGCACCCAGACAGAGCAGTAGATTAACTCTGTCATTTTGGACTAGCTCTGCAATTGGCTGTAGCACCACAGCTTAATGCAAAATATCAGTCACCACTGCTGGTACTTCACTGGTGGAACGGCAGTACAGGCTCCCAAGGTTCCACTTGTGATATTACTAAGAAAATCCATTATAAAGTGTTCAAACACTGGTGCGTGAAATCCGTTTCAAACCTTCCCCTAGTACTCTATAGCAGTATAGATTAACCCTCTCTCCCTGTTGCAGCTGCTGTGCTCTTGAAACTCCAAATAACAGCCTATTTATTGAGCTTTTTATTATAGGACGACATGACTTTCACAACACCCACACAAGTGTTGGGTACACTGAACTTTCTCTAAGGGAAAAAAAAGAAAAAAAAAAGGACATAATGTAGATGTATTCCTACAGTTCACTGTTGGATTATGTGAGATTGAGCTGCGGGAGTTATTCTGAAAAGCTCCCTGCTACAAATTGTACGCAATTTTCTATTACTACATGGTTTATGAGGGATGGAGTGGGAAACACAGTCTTTTCTAATGCTGTCTTCCATTCAGTCTCTGCATCAAGTGGGTAAGTATTCAAGGCACAACATGCGAAATGAAACAGCTGCCTTCAAAAACTGCCTCCCCTGGAGACCTGGGGCCAAGCAATTTGTGAAGCTGATGTGTGCATTAAGGCTGAGATTACGTATCAAAGGGCTGCAGTGATACAGTCATCCAGGAAATTACTGGACACAAATCCTGCAGTTGAAACTTGCTGCCTTTGGACACTTCTGACCATTGGGGAGGAATTTTCAGAGGTCTAAAGGTTCAATTTCAAAAGGAACTGAGGCAGCCAATTTGCACTGGTGATAAAGTACGCCGTGTATCACCCACCTGTAGCAAAAAGATAACTGACATCTAGTATTTTGCAGACATGGATTTACACTCTGAAATCCATTTGGTGTTATTGAAAATGTTTCCTTTGGAGCCTGGCTATTTTTAATCTGCTTAAAACTGGGAAAGATCAGGTTAAATTATCAGTTTATCCATAGCAACACATATCACAGAATCACAGAATGGCCAGGACTGGAAGGGACCTCAAGGATCACGAAGCTCCAACCCCCTGCCACACACAGGGCCACCAATCTCCACATTTCACAGCAGCCCAGGCTGCCCAGGGCCCCATCCAACCTGGCCTTGAACACCTCCAGGGAGTTATCTCTAAAACCTCAATGCCAACGTGATATTCATGCAGTCAATTATTTTTTAAAAAGAGACGTTTCATAGAAGCTTTGTTTCATCCACGTTTGTCTGATTTCATGGTCCAGGTCTTTGTATAAAATTAAGATTAGATTCTCAGTTTTCATTCTTTCTCAAACAATTTTCTCAAATGCTCTGTGACACAGCATACATGGATATATTTGTATGTTCTGTAACAGCAGGAGTAAGTGGGAAGAGTGCCTAATTATCAGTCTACAAGGGACAGCAATTATTAACAGCCTATTTTTTCCCCCACAGATCTGACATGGAAATACAGAGACAGGCAGAAAGCTAGTCTATCAAGCACCATTTCCCACCTATTTCTGACACGCACACTGGAGTTTGTTTATTGTTGTTGTCAGACCCAGAAATGTCAGTAAAGAGTTTTTGAGAGGAACCGGCATGAAGAAGATACTCCTGACAAAGACCTCCTCCTTTCCAGACAAACAAGACAGACTGCAGGTCAGAACAGACAGCTAAGCAAGTGTGTAAAAGGATGGCCCAACAAGGAAACAGCAGGGTGAGCCAGCAGTGTGCCCTGGTGGCCAAGAAGGCCAGTGGTACCCTGATGTGCATTAAAAAGAATGTGGCCAGAAGGTCAAGAGAGGCAATCCTCCCCCTCTACTCTGCTCTAGTGAGTCCATATCCAGAATACTTTGTCTGGGTTCCCTGATTCAAGACAGGGATCTCCCAGGAGGAGTCCAGTGCAGGGTGACTGGGAGCATCTCCCTTGTGATGAAAGGCTGAGGGACCTGAGACTGTTCAGCCTGGGGAAGAGATGGCTCAGAGGGGATCACTGGAACGGGCTGCCCAGAGAGGGATGATGATAGCTACAGGTCCCTTCCAACCCCCAGAATTCTGGGATTCTGTAAAGCAGAAAAAAAAAAAAAAAAGGCAAAGACTCAATTCTCTACTTCCCTTAGAAATGCCTCAGAGCTGTGAAACCTGTGAGAATTACAGGAGGGCAAGGTTATAAATTTCAGTTGGCTTTAACCAAGGGTAATTGTTATCTACTTTCTGCAGCTATTAATGTTAATATATTTCAATGTAATTGAAGGTGTAACTGCACTGAGGGGCAATAACTCAAGAGGACAACAACTCTAGATGTTTACATCTCCACTGCAGTCAGAGAAGTTTCTTTTACTAGTGTCAATTAATCCCAAACAGTTTGTTTCCTACTTGACACCCACTGCTCATCAGTACAAAGCAGAACGTAGCCCAGAATTTATTTCCCTCAGCACTGACCTTCCTTGCACTCCAGATTTGCATTCAGGTGTTGGGTTCCTTGCACCACCCGTTATTTAGTAGGCATAAGAAGCCTGCCATGTTTTCGGTGTTTCTATTCCAGGTGCTAGGCACTGTAGGTTGGGTTTCCAACTGGCAACATCCAGGAAACATGCTGCAGTTTCTGACAAGCATAGTTCCCTCCTTTGGCAGCAAATCTGCTGAATCTGGAGGCACACTGCCTTTTGCTGGTACGCTGGACAAATGGTATGAGGACAAATCAGAACTCTTTATCAGTCATGCACTGTCCCAAGATACCTCCCATGCTCCTTTAAAAACAACTCCACACGACTCAGAAAAGCCATCAGACTTATTCTTTATGTTGCAGGACATTGAAATACCCTCCATCTCCAATGGCTTATTTCACATCCTAGCTGTTCGGCAACATGCAGACTCTGAGCCTCTATCTTACAGTAGGACTGGTACACATCCAGTACTGTGCCACAGGGATACTGTAGAGTCAAGGAAGCTTTCTTGGGAAGCATGGAATGCTATGGAGAATCACACACGTTACTGGATTTTAAGCTGGTGACATCACATGGTGAGAACATTAAAGATCCTAGAAATCTTGTGGAGAATGCACAGATGTCCAATCATGAATAGTTTTATCTTGTATTGGAAGACATGTAAGTGGGAAAAAACATTATTATGAAAAGAGTAGTACAGTTGTGGTACAACATGCAAAGATTTGGGAGAGAAAAAATCTTTTAGAAAGCAGTCTGAACAATACTGTGCAAAATTTTTACTGAGTGGCATCTTAAACATTTTGTTGTTTACATTGCAGCTGAACCACAGGTTCACATGCACACACAAACAGAAGGGAAGATGTTCTCCAGAGACTCATTCAATGGCCAAGACTCAAAATATACAGATACCAGTGCATAGAACAGTTGTAAAATAATCCAGGCAGGTGGCTGAGTTTATCTTCAAAATCTTGCTTTCGTGTTAAATCTCTGGTTTCTACATCACAGAATCATCTCCTTTCTTTGTTGCTGGCATCAGCACTAGGATGACTTCATGACAATATCCCCAAATGTTTATTCTCTGGTAATAGTGGTGCCTACCACTATTACATATCCCCATAAGGAGTTTCCATACGATGGGACAGTGCTACTCAGTGCTCTGAAGTTGTGAAGTCCCTAGGTTCTCTCACTTTCTTGCACGCTGTTTTTTTAATAGTTGGTGAGTTTGGTAGAGTTTTGCTCTTCATGGGCGTTGGTTTCCTCTGTTTTTGGTGAGTGAATCGGAGAGATTTCAGACCCAGCATCTCACAGTACTTATTGCACTGGTGGAGGGCTCTGAACTGCTCAATGAAGGAAATCGAGCAGTTGCCTTTAAAGCCTTTGTATCTGTAGCAACAAAGAAAAAAACAAAGCCAAATTGGATTTCAAGACCCATTTCCAGCACAGGGGAGACAGAGTATGACTGTTGACAAATAGGCAACTTGAACATACTAAGCGAGTCTCTTGCACTCATACCACTTTGAGAGGCACTAACAGATTCAAACAGTGCCATTAAGATGTGAAGAAAACTTGATCATGAGCAGTGGCAGAAGAGGGAAAAAGGCTGAGAAGATTCAGGTCAGCAGGTTGTGTTCTGGCTATTCTTCATCATTTTATTTAGTCGGCAAAATAATTACCTTCTGGCTAATTTT